TGCCAACTTTGGCAAACATCAGTAAATGCTTGCTGGGCGACACAGACTCTGAGCTCCTACAGCCCGGGACAGGCCACGAGGAGACGAAGTACTTCCGGGCCAGTGCAGGTGGTGTTTCCTCTGGGCCCTGGGGCAATAATGGCGGGGAAGGCCCGGCGGGCACGCACAGATGCTGTGCAGTGACAAGAGCAAGAGACGAGGGGCGGAAGCACAGGCTGTGACAGGCCAGCGAGGGGAGAACGTGACAGAATTCCTTCAGGTCAGCAAGTATTTCTGGAACACACAAGAGCAGTCACGGAAGGGGCACTGACTACACTTCGGGCTGGATCCTGATAGCGACACACACTATAGAACTGTGCAAATCGTTCAAGCCCTCTGAGCCTCGACTCCCACATCGCTAACACCGCGACGCCTGTCTATACTGCAGGACCCTGTGGCGGAGGAGATGCCCCCAGTGCGCTCAGGGTGCTTGTGGCGCGTACGAGTAACGCAGCAAATGACAGCCGCTATGACCACTGTGGAGGACACTATATCCTAGCCCTGCACAGATTACAAGAATGAAAAAGATCCCTTACATGATCTTGTTAGGAAAGAAAACAAAATTTTTTTAATTAAAAAACAGTACAAGAAAAACAAAAAATGGTGAAATACTGACAGAGCCTCAAATCTTTGAGTGGAGGCCGGCAAATTTTTCTGGAAAGGGCCAGGCAGTAAATATTTAGTAAACATCTGGGACCACAGGATCTCCATTGCAACCACTCAACTCTGCCCTCTTATCATAAAAGCAGCCACAGACAATACACAAAGGAATGAGTGTGGCTGTGTTCCAATAAAACTTTATTTAAAACAAAGGGAGGTGAACTACAGTTTACCAGTCCCTGTTAGAGAGTGTTTCTTGAAAAATCTAGATAAGAGACATGAAGGAGGCTTGCTTCACTTTCAAAAATGCAAGTAAACATCAGAAACAATTTATTCCTTGATACTTACTGTTTCCTGACAATCCTTTTAAAAATCACAACCCCATTCTCACATTCCCAGTGCTCCTGCCCCACGGCACTTCTCACCTGCTAACATTCTATTTATTTCTTACATCTTTTAGTGTCTGCCTCCCCCTGCTAAAACATAAGTCCCATGAGGGACAGGGTCTTTGTTTTCTAATGTAACCCAAATTCCTCAAGTAGTGACAGTCATTTATAGCAGATCTTTAACAAATATTCGTTGAATGAGCTGAGTGAAGGGCAGGCCTGTCTCCAGAACCCATTTCATGCTTATTTGTGGCTGTCTCCCCCACTGTTCCTCAGGAATCTGCCCACTCTTCCACCTTTAGGCACCCACAGAATCTTGTACGTACTTGCTTTTACAGTGATTTGCAATGATCTTTTCACATATCTGTTTCCACTAGCAGTTAATAAGCAATTTGAGGGCAGAGACTGGGTCATTTTGGCAATCTCTCCCCAGCACGAGGCACTGCTCAAATGTTTTCTGAATGTCTGAGTCAATGGATATGATCTGAATTCAGTCCCCAGCCCTGCCCACCCCACCTAGGGCTCCAATACCTCTCTCTGTGCAGGGGGCTACCTGGCCCCTTCTCACATCCAATCCTGTTATTCTAACAGCCTGCAATATACCAGGCTCTGACTCTACTCAGGACCGAATGCTGGATCAAAATAAGAGCAAAAAGATTTAGGATTATAATTATTACCCTCAATTTATGGCACAGTGCAGGGAAATAGGCCACGAACTCCAGAAACTGGCATACAGTGTAGAAGGTTCAGTTCTGGGGGGTCAGGAACTGTGCCTTAGTCACCTTTGCATCCACTCCTCAATGCCTCGCACGGCACCTGGCATATTATACAGGAACCAATAATAATAAACATTTTTGAAGCTCATACTAAGTGCTAGGCCCTGGACTGAACACTATATGCAAATCATGTCACTTCATTTTCACAACCTATTTTAGAGATGAGGAAACTGAGGCTCAGAGAAATTGTAACTTGCCCCAGGGCACAAAGCAAGTGAGTGGCAGAACTGGGACCTATGCCCATCACTCCAAAGCCAGGGCTTTTAAGCATGACACTAGCAATGGAGAGGAGGAGGGAGGAAGACAGGGAGGGAGGGGAGAAGGGAGACAGGAGACTGGAGAGGGGGGGCGGTGAAGGGAAGGAGGAAGGAATAAGAACAGTGCCAGGTGAGTTCAGATGACACAGGCGAGTCTCCCTGAAGAGATCAGGGATGAGCAGCTGCAGGGATAAGTCAGTATCTGAGTTAGGACTTTGCAGGATGGGTGAGCAAGATTGGGACTTGCAGAGATGGGGAGCCCGCTATCTACTGAGAACACAGTGGCAGGTAAAGTACAGAAGTACTTTCATGTCACATTTCAAAGATTTGGGGAGAGAAGGGCCCATTGGGGCCAGGAGGCTCAGAGGTACAGGGAGGACCAAGGGTGGAAGGGATTGGGGCAGTGGAAAAGCAGCCAGGGCTAAGAAGTAATAGCCAAGAAGATAGGGCTGGTGATCACAGATGCTGAAGGTCAAGGGCCTGGGTTAGAGTGAAGGGGCCAAGCTGGAAAGTGGTCTGAAGGGCCAAAGTTCGGGGTCTTTAGGGTCAAGTCAAGGGGTAGGGGGTGGGGAATGATGCAGAGAGAGGAGCTTAGAAAGACCAGGGACAAGGTGTTGAAGAACAGGGAACTGTACCGGGTAGCTGCATAACGGGTCAGATAGAGGGGACGAAAGGAGTCAGAGGGCCCGCAGGAGATGGGCAGGGGAGAGGAGGCACAGGCTGCAATCAGAGGTGTTAGGGGCCCGGGGCCCGACGCTGGGTTGTGAGTAGCGGGGAGAAGCCGATGGCGGAGTCTAGGATACGCGCGTCCTAGAGCACAGGTCTGGGTTTTGAGTAGCCGGATGGCTTGGGAGGGAGGGATGAGAGAGGGGGAGGGGCTGGCCCCCAAAGTATGGTCGGTGCCGGCGGGGGGAGGACCTGGACTGAAAGGCCAACTGGAGGGCCTGTGGGGAGGGGCTAGGGCAGCCTCCTGGCCGCGCGGGCCAGGGGCGGGGGCCAGGGGTCGGGGCGAGGGGACCACCGGCTCCCATTTACTCCCCACCGGATCCAGGGAGCAAAGCCACAGCCTCTAACTCCCCGGAGGGAGGGAGGGGGCCACGTTCAGAGTTCCCCGCGAAGCCGTGTCCACCTCCCCCCGCGACCTCGGGCCCAACCCGGACCCACCTCGCTCCCGCCGCTCCGTCAGGGACAGCGCCGCCTCGGTGGGCCGGGGGAGGAGCCGGAGCCGGAACCCAGAAAGGACCCGCCCTACCTCTCCAGGATTGGTTCCTGAGGAGAATCCTTCCTTCCCACTGGCTGCACTGGCTGCCACAACGCAAGAAACCCAGGCGGGACCGCCAATAAACTTTGGCCTCGGGCAAGGCCTGCTGGGAGTTGTAGTCCTGAGGAAGAGCGTAGACTCGGAGACGGAATCTGCGAAGTTTAGAACTGAGTAGCCAAGACTGAGTTCTCTTCCAAGGTCCTCGGATTTCCTTCTACGTTCACGCGTTAAAAGCCCAAGGTGCGGGGCCACTGGTCTGGCCAGCAGTAGAATACGTAGAGCTAACGTGAATGACCTCCACGGAATCATGAACTCAGTTTCTTCTTTACTTTGAGCTGGTGGCACTTGACGATCCTGTAGACATCCCGTGAAGCCTTGATTCGCGCGCTTTACTTGAGGTTTATAATTAAAAGTCAGAGGATTGTAGAACTAGAAGGGAGATTAAAGATCAACTAACCCAATCCGTTTGTCAGAGAAACTAAACGTTCCCCGTATGAGGCGCTGCCTCTGGGTTCCCCAACGCTTCTGCACAGGGATTTTTCTGCGTCCTACCTGGATAAAGCTGACTGCCATTCATCAAGCCGGCACAATAAGACTTCTAAGGTATATCCAGGGTGAAGGTTTTTTTTTCCCCCAAGTTTTATTTAAAAAAAAAAAAAAAAGTCTAATAGAATATTCTCATACCTGCACGGTATTTCAGTGCAAAGAGCAAAGAATATTGTCTTCAGAGCTAGATAAACTAGATTTATAATCCCAGTTCTACCGCCCAACCATTTGGAACACCATTTTCCTCCCCTGTAAAATCCCTGGCAGAATTGTTTTAAGGATTAAATGAGGTAAAGCTTCTGCTTCCGCAAATATCAGTTCTCTTTCCTGCTGGTAAATTCTCTTGTGTGCAGCCAGTGTGAACAATGGGAATTAGTTTTTAAGATTAAGATATTCTGGAAAGTATGTTTGAAACTGAGTATGAATGAGTAAAATATAAATCCCCCACATACACTATTGCTTATAAATTGATATAAATAAAATACTGAGAAGGCAGATCAGAAATAAAACTGTGGCTTTATTTCTAACTGTGGTTAAAGCTTGCTTGGGTGGATTCAAGGCTATTCAAAAACCAATCCCATAAGGTGTTTTCCTATTACCAGTGCAAAGCCCTTCCCCACAACTTCTCATTCATGATGAAAATAACATCATGCCAAACAACAAATATCAAATTTTATTTAAGAACTGTGCAAAAGCAAACCAAAAATTTCACCCATGCATTGTGATAATTACATTTATATATCAACTTGACCAGGCTACAGGGTGCCCAGACATTTGGTTAAACATTATTCTGACTGTTTCTGTGAAGGGTGTGTTTGGATGAGATTAATATTTAAATTGGTAGAATGAGTAAAGCAGATTGCTCTCCCTAATGTAGGTGGGCCCCATCCAATCAGTTGAAGGCCTGAATAGAACCAAAAAGCAACCCTCCCCCTAGTATGAGAGAATTCTTCCTGCCTGACAGTCTTTAGCCTGGGACATCAGCTTTTTTTCCCTACTTTCAGGCTCGTATGGAAATATTGATTCTTCCTGGGTCTCCAGCTTGTCAGCCTTCAAACTGGAACTACGCTATTGGTTCCCCTTCGTCTCCAGCTTGCTGACTAACCCTGCGGATCTAGGGACGTGCCAGCCTCCATAATCATGTGAGCCAATTCCTTATAATAAATCTCTTTATACATATAAATATAACAAACATATATTGCCCAGGAGGATCCTAACTATTACAAGCACTAACAGAGAACTTCTGACAGAAAGATCCAGTTTCTATTGGGTAGAACTGTGTACTCATCTGCAAACTGAGATCAGCCAGTATTTCCACAAAGAGGCCAGATCACATGTGTGCAATGACTTGAAAGTGAGTAGGCTTCTTTCTGCAATCCATGCCAAAAAATGAGGTTCATTATTTTAACCTCACACAGGAGCTACCAACTTCCTATTTGAAATCAATACTCTCACCTAAGAGGCTGTTTGCTACACAAGGTGTCACGTCTTCTAGGATAATGGTCTTATGGGGAAAAAAAGCCTCTACACTGGTGGTTAAAACTGCCACTTTTCTAGCTGGACCTCTCTAAATCCCAGGAGGAAATTCGAAAAGGCCAGGGTAACAGACAGACTCATCCATGGCTGTCTTTCCAAGGCCACGCACAGCTGGGCTGCTGTGTTTGAAACTGTGCCTCCCAGCTCCCTGATTGTGCTCTTGAGGCTTTTCAGGATTATGGCTACCACATTTAAAATCCCTGCACCTGGTTAGCATCAATAGGTAAGTTAGCTTTGAAAACGTGTACATTAGCTCTGAATGTCAGGACACTATACTGTAAACAAGCATCAAGGAAACAGAAAAGGATGGCATGTTTTACCCTTCCAGCTTCCCCACCCCATATTCCAGAAGAAAGAAGGAAGAGCGTGTGACCCAAAATATGTTTACTTTTAAAAAGCTGGCTTTGGTCTGCACTGAGAGAAGGGAAAAAGCCATTCTGGAGGGGACAAGAGAGAAGTCAGGGACTGGGCACCATAACTTCGTGACTAAAAGGTCAAGTGCAGGATGAGGCAGGGTGAAGTTCCTCTAAATAGCTCCTCGAGTAGAGAACCCCTGTATCTTGATGACACACATTCACCGTCATCACCTACACCTAATCATCACCAAACCTTCATTTGGTTTTCAGGAATTCTTCCAGAGCAATGGGAATTTTAAGTCCCCAGAAGGATGACAGAGTTTAGAACTGAGCCCTGAGTGAAAGGTGGGTTGAATCAAAATCACAAGGTCTAGAACTGGGGAAAGGCGATGGGATGTTTTGGAATCAGGTGTTGGGCCGACAGACTGAAATCCAGGCTAGGGTGCTGGACCATCAGGGGAGCAGGTAATGAGGTACAGCCCTAAAAAGAAGGAACCTTGAGCCCCTGTAGGGCTGGGGCAAGGTCAGTGGGCCAGGGCAGGATCATATCCCCAGGTGGGAAAAGCTCCGGTGCCTGAGGAGGGAGTAAGGAAGGGTCCACGTTCATGGCCACGTCTCCATTCGCATGGCCTTTTTCTTCTGGCTTGTGGCCAGTTGGTGGCTCTGATTTCTGGAGTTCCGAGCAGATGATTAGAGGTGCTGTATTTTTCCCTCCATCATGAAGGCAAGGCTCAAAGAAAGGGCGAAGGGGGCCAGAGAAAGTGTGGGTGAAAGTAAAGATGTGGGATCTGCTGGTCACATTGTAGAAGGAAACAATGCCTGCTTCATAGTCCAGGAAAATCCCCACGCACCGTGGGGGCTCCTTGAGGCGCAAGGTGGTCTGTGGGGATGTGAGAGCTTCATACTCCTGCTCGCTACTCTGGCGGACAAGCCAGTGTCCATTGGCGGGCGTGGCAGTGACCTTCCCCTTCCTGCTCACGGACTCACTACACACTCCCAGGGCCCATTTGGTCTTGTTTCCCACGTCCACCTCCCAGTAGTGACAGCCCACCGTGAAGTACTCAGCGCCCAGGACGCTGACGACAAAGTCAAATCTCTGGGGGCCATCGGGCACAGGCTGCCTTCTGTCTCCAAGCCTCACACATCGCCGGTCCTCAGACAGGATGAGTTTGGGATGTGCTGTGTCCGGGTCCAGGGTCACTGCCACTGCAGAGAGTCACTGACAGGTGAGGCTGGGAAAGGCAAGGTCTTAGGGGATCTTTGGGTAGCTTTGGAGGGAAAGATAATCCCTAGGTCTGTGACCACTGTCATTGGCCTATTTGATCTCATGGTTCCCCCTCCCCTATGTGTTAAGGAGCCAAAGAAAAACTGTCTTCCAGTCTCCTAGATCTGCTGGCAGTGTATTAAGTTGAAAGAGGAAAATGTATTTCATCTGTCTGTGAAGCTGCCTTAATCCTTAGGAAACACTGCCTTTGTCTTCGATGGTCCCAAGGAATCTAATGGATGATGATAAACATAGGCTTTGATGTTAGACCCAGTAGCCAGCTAGGATGTGTGAGTACCAGCTCTGCCACTTGCTGGTTTTGTGACCTTGGGCTTGTTATTTATCTCCCAACTTCAGTTCCTTCCTCTGTAAAATGGGAGTAGGGGCTCCCATTTGTACAAATGTGTATAAATTTGTACAAATTTGATGAGCTAATATAGGAGATGGTGCCTAGTTCACACAGTGAGTATGTGATGCTTGGTAGTTAAAATCATTGCTTATAATTATCATTTCTAAATGGTAATATAGAGAGAAGGATTCTTCTTTAAAATTGTGGATTACGAGGGTCACAGTGAGTCTCCCCCCTTCCCCATGTACAGAAAATAGGCTCTTCTTGGAGAGTGAACCCGTGAAATCTGTACTCAGTCAGGTGGTGGGAGTGAGCCAGACCGTGAGTGTCAGAAGGGTTTTTGAGCACCTTGGTTGGTGATCTGGTGTTCTCTCAAGTGCCAACTCATCAATTCTATTGTACCTGCCTGAAGGAAGCCATGTGAACAGAAGGAGGATGAGCAGCCAGAAAATTGATAAGCAAAGCAGTGAAAATAACAGGTCTCATTAAAATAACAGCAAAAAACCCTCCCACTACTTAGGAATAAAATGAAAAGAGATGTGCAAATCTTTTAGAATAAAACTATGAAAGCTTTTTGTAGTCTGCACTGTGGGAGCATGGGCCTCACCCATTCTCTTCTCTGAGAATCTCAGTCACCACCCCCCGCAAAAGAAAACTGATTTTTGAAGAAGGACGTGGCAGGTGTGTAGACGGAAATAGGAGCACTGGCTATTGGTCCAATTGTGGAGTAGGAAGGACTTCCCAAACTTGAAAGCATGGAAGAGACTACAAAGGAAAAGATGGATAAACTTGACTACATAAAAACAAAACACTCATGCACCAAAAAAATACCATAAGGAAAGTAAAATGAAAATGAAAAAACTTGGAAAAATAAGTTGTGAAAAATATGAAAAGAACTAGTATACTTTATATAGAAAGAATCCTTACAAATCAAAAAGTAGCCAGGACAGGACAGGAGCAGACAAGTCACAAAGATGATGTACAAATAACCAATAAACTTAAGATAAATCTCAAAAATCATAGAGAACCCATAAGAAGATTAACATGTATATTTATCAGTGTTCTATAAGGGGGGAGACTTTCTAAATCTAAATGTGACCCCCAAAATCACAGATTTTTTAAAATTTGATAAGCAGATAAACAGATTTGATTTTAAAAAGCTCTAAATGACAGTCTGCATTCCACAGGACCAGAGCTATGGGCTCTGACATGTGGATGACCTGACTGGTGTAACTTACCAAAGTGCAGCCTTGCCCTCCTCCAGCCTAAAAGACATAAAGAGGATGCTTGAATTAAAGATAGAAAAACTGAGAACTCCTGGGGCATGTGGGCCAAGTGTGGGAAAAGTGTACCTCACCTGAGTTCGCCGCAGCTCTTTTCAACTCTATACAAGAAGAAAGAAGGGGGTGAGCTATTGCTGGAAATACAGACCCAATGGGAGATCAGGTGGTACGGGAGTTAAAAGAGCATGGGACACTTACTCAGTTCACTCCGGAGTTTCTCTAAAGAATAAAAACAGTTGGACCAATCAAAACAAGGGCTTCTACATGCCCAGAGCGCTGCAGTCCCATCCCAACCACATTCCCACATCGGATCCTCAGTAGCAATACACTGAGCTTCCCCATAATGGGACTTGCAATAGCAGTGCCTCCCAGCCATGGGCCAGGGCTCCCTGGCGACACGGCGGAGGGTCAACCAATTCCTGTGTCCACCAGCATGTCCCAGCAGACCGAGTCAATGACACGTCTTCTGCATATAGGTCATGACAATGTAAACATTTGTAGGATGTTGTGGGAGTAGAATAAAGTATAAGTTCATTTAAAACAATCACCCAATTTCCATGTGATTTCCTTAGGTATGTTTTCTCAATGTAAAATAAAACAGACATGTCGTCCTGTGTCTGAAGATTTTTTTGGTTATGAAGAGGTTCTCATACGTGAAGTGGTGGAGAAACACTGCTCCACATATTCACTTTAATGAGGATCCATATGCTTTGGATCCCTCCTAAGGGAATGTCACGCCTAGGGAATATAAAGGGTCTCCCAGGCGGCTTCACCTATGGAAGGTGAGGGCTTCCTGGTCAGACCTTTCCAGATAACAGTTCTATGGGAAAGAGGAACAGGGAATATCTGAGAAGAGAGAACTTTGAGAGCCAATACATCTCCAACCCCCATGACCTCAAGTGCCCTTGCCGCCCTCTTCTGCTGCAAGAAGTAAAACCGAGACACTCATCCTAAAGCAAAGACATCAGCAGAAGGAGGTTTGTGCCACGGATGAGGCGAGGAACTTACTGAGGGCTTTATGGAGCCTTCCTAAAAAACAGAAAAAGGCACGAGTGAATAGACGGGCCACAGGAAGGCTCATCACTCCATCCCCCCTGGTGGAAAGGGCGATGACCAGCCTGTGGACCCCGAAACCAGTCACATCTCTCAAAGTTTGGACTGGAGAACTTGGTAGTGCTGCTGCCACTTTCCCAGTGACCCGGTTGCCCGGAACTTTGGGTTCTCCTTTCTCGGCCCTCCCTTTCTGTCTGGCTCCTTTTCTGTGGTCCCCGTGAGGGCTTCTGTGTGTTTCTAACTGTGTGCTCATGCGTGTGTGTCTTGCTGCCCTTCAATAACCTCCTGTTGGTAAATAGCTCTGCTGTGAGACTAGCTGAAGGCCTAGCATCAGCTCGTGGACATGGCTCTATTATTCTCGACAGTGACTCCGCTGAAGTCCTGCAGACCGACTGATACATTAGGAGGTCCCAGGTTTGGGGACATAAGCTGTAGACTTCCGGGGAGTACTGTACTTGTGGCTTTTCCAGAAAGGCCATCAGCCCACATTTTCTCCTAGCGCTTGGCTCTGCCAGAGAATTAAAGTTATACATCTGAGTCCGCAGCCATGCCCTGTGCTAAGGGCTGGGCATGTGTTAGGCATTGCGCGCTCGGGCGGTGAAACCGAATATGATATGGCCCTTAAGGAACTTATCATTTTTATGATTCCCGTTATTAATAGCCTCCATTTGTTGTGCCCTGTTCTTATAATGAGGTGGGCACCAAATCCCCTCAACAATGTGAGGTGCCTATAATTAGTATCCTCATTTTCTAGAGTGGCGGGCTGAGGCTCAGAGGGACATGGAGATTTGCCCAGGTCATCCAGCTAACAAGTGGCCAGGGAGGCTGGATTCCAGCCTACGTCTGTCTGCCTCCCAGTCAGAGGACGGCCCCGCTACACCACACTATGCCTTCTGCCCTTGGACAGAATAGCCATAGCGTCCCTGAGGTGTGTGCGCCCACACTTTCACCACCTTGGAGGAGAGGAGATGCGGAAATCAGTGCAGATGGAGCCATTTTTGAGCCAGGGACTTGTCTTCCCAGCAAGACCTTCCAAGGGCAGAGCTCCCATTTTTTGGTACCCTGGGTGTGTCTAACTTTTACTCACAGTGGCCCAGGGCAAACAATTAATGAAGATGAAAAATGGGAAGGGAAAGGGGTACCAGGCTTTGTAATAAGAACTTTTTAAGTTGTCTATTTTAATCCTGAAAACAATCAGGTGAAGGGACTTACTGTCCCCATTTTACAGATGGGGAAACCAAAGCTCAGAGCAGTAAAGTGCCTTCTCCAAGACCAGTAAGTGGCAGACGGGTGATCTGAGCCAGGTGTCACTGATCCAGTCACTTTCTGTAGAGTCTGTGATCCTCCCATCATAACACACTGCCTCTCTCAATGCAAAAGTTGTATGGATTTTTGAGATGCTCATACACCCCATATGACCATAATAATACCTTCTTAAATAGTAAGTAGACCTTCTTTTTAAGTGATTGGTGGAAAGGCTGATGAAAGGAGCTCAGGACAGTCCAGACCTATGAATGTTGACCAAGGGCATCCCCTCACCATGGCCGTCCTATAGCCCCTTGATACGTGAAAGTAAATTCCAATAATATTAGTGGACGATGTATGTGTGTGTGTGCGTGTGTGTGTTTGTGGGTGTAATGTATGTATGATAGTCTGTCGGCATTCATGTAGAAGTAGAAAGAATATGTTCTTTGTTATTTGTTCCCTACTCTTTATTCTATACATATAATTACCTTTTTCTTTTGCGTGGTCTGAGAGAAGATTTTCTAGAGGAAGAAAAGTAAATGAGATTCTGTGCCATTACTTTGAGGGTCCCCAACTCCTACTGAGTTAACCCGCTCTTAAACCTCCCTATCTCCACCTCCCTGACCCAGACCCTCACCATCTCTCATCTGGATGACAGAAATGGTGCCCCCCACATCCTGTCTTCTTCCCTCTGGTCCCGTCTCAACACCGCAGCCAGAGAGAGCTTCTTGAAGCGCAATTCTGGTCAGGATTGCCCTGTTCACTGCTTTACCACTGCTCCGAGAAGAAAATCCGAAACCCTTCACATGATCTACAAGGCCTCCCCTGGCCTGACCCCCGCTAAGTCCACAACCTCATCCCCTGTCACCTTTCCCCTCACTTCTGCACTGTGTGTCTTTCGCATATTGTTCTTTCTGCTGTGGAAGGTTTTCTGTTCCCTCTTCCTCCAAGCCTGCCTGTCTTCCAGATCAAACATCACTTCTTGTGGGGCTCCGCTCCTGTCCCTCAAGTTTGGTCGGTTGGTTCCTCCTGGTTCTGGTCTTTATGGCCCTTAGAACTTCCTCTCGTGGCGTTTGTGCACATTTATTTGTGTAATTACTTCACTTAGGTATGCTTCCCTGACTGGACTGAAAGCTCCAACAAGGCACAGACTGTGTCTGCTTTTACTCGCCATTGTGACCCCAGCGTCTAGTATAATCTGGGGCACTTAGTAGACAATTACTAGTTGTTTGTTGAATGAATAAAAGCTCCCCCCCCCCCATGTTAGATCCACACGACTCCCACAGAATAGGATCAAGCAGTGAGTTCACATACAAAAATCACCGAACATACTGGAAAGCAAGCTCTGACAAGAGTCTGCAAAAACTGGAAAAGACAGGTATAGATGCCCCACCATCCCTGCCAGCAAGGGCAGCAGATAGTGGGATTTTCAGGTATACAATTTAGATTAGCGGGCCCTGGGAGCACAAAACAAACAAAACACAATAACATCCCCACCCAGCTCAGGACACTTACCTACCTCCATCACCTGTTCATAGAGAAGCTTCTCTAGAAGACAGAGAGAGATATGGCAGCTCAGTTTAAGGAAGGGCTTTTCCTAATAGGCAGGTTTGTCCAAAGATGGCCCAAGCTGCCCGAATAGGACTTTGCTCCTTGTCACTGTGGGTGTGCAACTGTTTGAAAGGATTAGAGGGTCTTCAAACCATCAGATAGGGGAAGGAGTATTGGATTCTGTGACTTTCAGGGTCATTTGCAACCCTGTGATCCTGTGAAATTCAACCGTATTCATGGGGTTTCATCTCATGGATAGAATTGCGTTTCTTAATTAACTAGAAGGCTGGCATGATCAGTTATTTTTTAATTTATCAAAAGAGAAGGATTCACAGCTCTGCCCAGGGGTTTTCTGCAGTTTCTCTGACCCTCTCTGCATTGGGAGTCCCCAAGCATGGCTCTACCAGTTCTCTCTCAACCATTTTGCAGGGTCTCCAACCTATGGCTAATTCATGTCCACGTCTACTTCCCCCGGCCATTTCCTAGAGAAGCCTGTCCCACTTCTGGCCAGCTGGGGCTCCCTTACCACTTAGTTACCTTTTGATCTTCTTTGCTTCCAGATGAGGTATATGCCCACCATGATGATAATCCCCAGGACAGGCAGGATCACAGCAAGAGCCACTGCTGAGGAGGAGATCCTCCCTGGAGACGGGGCTAAAACAGAAACCACCAATGGCCACCCTCAAAGAGACATTCGATAGCTTCTCCCATGCCAAGGACCCTGTTTTAGATGGCAGATGGCTCAAGCACATCCCAATCGTCTCTATTGGGTCTAGGGAGAGACCTCCAGACAAGACTGGTGAGGGTCTTTGCTTCTTTCAGTCACTCCAACCCTGGATGACCCAGGGATGACTTTAAAGTGAGATGTTCATTTCTTAGGAGTGGTTTTGATGGTCCTGCCTGAAGACAATGGGTTAAACTCCACTTTTGAACCACAACCTTGTCCTGCCCTATATGGAGCCGTTATCTGGGGACTTTGGAGGATAGGAGGGGCTTCCTCAGGGATCATCTCTTGTCTTCTCATGAGCACCCACCTGTCTCCCCATCAAGTCCTCACCCTGCTGTGAAACAAGTCAGTGAGTGACATCTTGGCCCTGAGCCCTACCAGCAGCCGCAGAACAATTTCTGTGGTGCTATAGCCGCAGACCTAAAGCCTGAGCAAGAAGAAAGAAGAAAGGAAAGAAGAAGAAAAAAAAAAGAGCAGAAGAAGCTCTGTGACCAGTGGGAAGAGTCTCAGCTGGATGCGAGACTTCACTCAACAGTGTGTGACCCTGGGCAAGAGACTGAGCCTCCCCAAGCCTGGTTGACCATCTATAAAATAGAGATGATATAATCCCTGTCCCGTTGGGTTGTTGGGAGATTTAAAGAGGTCGAGCAAGTAAAGCACTTAGCACTTAGTGAGAGAGCAGTGGCTGTAGTAAGGGAAGGGAGAGGGACAGAGAGAGAAAAAAGAAGGGATTCACAGAAGTCATGACCCCGTCTCATCTGGGACCCCAGGCCACAGTCTGTCTTTCTTGGCTCCAAAACCACTCTGCTCTGCCCCATGGCTCCGAGTTTCAAGGGTCTTTAAAAGATTCATACCCCTTGAACCTCTTAATTCTAATTCCAGAAAGGCATTCTAAGAAAATAATCAGTATCACTTCCCAAAATATGTGCAAAGATGTTCACTGCACCATTTGTCATAATAGGAGGAAAAATGGGAAACCATCCAGATGTCCAGAAATAGGGCTTTGATTAATTTTACTATGCTATAACCACACAACGAAGTACTGTGTAGCCCTTAAAAATCATGTTGCAGAAAACTACTTAAGGGCATGGGCAGAAAATGCCCATGACGTTGTAACTGAAGGGAAAAAGACCCAGCAGAATACATATATGCAAACACATGCACACTCAGAGATACAGACATACTAGAATGTCTTGAAAGAAATGCCCCAAAAGGTTAGCAGCAGTTCTAATTTATGACATAATAGGCCATTTTTGGTTTCTTTAAAATGTTCATCCTTTTTTCAAGTTTTCTACCACAAACATTTTTACTTTTAGAATTTAAAAAATATGAAAATTCTTTATAAAGTTTCCATTAAGGTACAAGTTTTTTCCAGGGGCTTTAAGCCCGTTTACTGCCCTGGCTTTTACCTGCTATGAGCATGGCTGTGGTCTTCTCTTGGCCAAGGGCCAAATTGTGGATGGTGCAGGACACATTCCCCAGCGTGCTGTCCCTGACTCTGCTGGACACCGCTATCCGGAAGAGCCCAGCTTCCAGGACATGGGCATCCGACAGGGGTCGAAGCACCCTGCCTTGAGGGTCTCTCCACTCGGCCAAAGGCTGTGGAAACCATCCCACCGACCTGCACACCAGCTGGATCCATCCAGCGTCGTAGCCCTTCACGTGGATGTAAGGGTCGGAGCCTAGAACTGGAGCGGGACAGGGAGCAGAGACGCCTGGCAGTGGGGGCGTGGTCCCCGCCAGAGCCCTGTCCCCTTCCCGCAGCCTCCCCAGGGTGGCGGGTCTGTTCATGGCACTTGCGTGCCCTGCCCTCTCCCCACCCCCATGCTCCTCCCAACCTGGTGAGAGAGTCTCTGGCTTCATCCTCACACCTTCACAAATCCGCCTCTAGGGTAACTGCATCCCACGATTCAGGTCTTGGGGGCACCTCGGTCCCCCCTTTGAAAATGACTAACCTGCCACCTGCAGGGTCACGGTGCCGTTTCGAGTCAGGTTTCCAATCTGGACCTCGCATTGGTACAGCCCTCGGTCCTCCAGCCGGACGTGGCGGATCTCCAGGGACACGCTCCCCTCTCGGGGGTCCCTCAGCAGCGCCGTCCGCCCCATGTATTCTGGCATCACGCCTTCCTCCCGGTCTCTGCCGTCCCGGAACACGTGCACGACCTGGGAGCGGTCCGGGCTCGGGGACCGCAGCCACGTCACCACGGCGGGCACGGTGACCGGCCACAGGGCGAGCGGGCAGAGCAGCTGGGCTGTGCCCCCTAGTGGGGCCAGGTGGTAGTCGTCGGCGTCCCCTGTGAGGTGTGGACAGAAAAGGGACAAGGGCGTCTGGGAGGGACAGGAGAACAGGAGCTGGGCGGGGGATGAAAGGGATGTCTTGGCGAAGGGCAGGGCCTGGGGAGGGCATTGGAAAGGACTGGGGGTGGGGGTGGAGAACAGAATGCGGGAACAAATAAGGCCCCTTTGTTCTTGGGACTCCTCCAGCAGACTTCCCAGGCAGGGAAAGAGGTTCACCAACTCCTACCTGACAAGGGCATTGGCAGCCGGAGGAACACGAGTGCCACGAGGCAGCCAGAGAGCCAGGAGCCAGAGGAACTTGCCATCTCTGTCCGAACTATGCAAGGACAGAGGCAAGGAGACACCAGAAAGGGCTGGTGAGCTTGATGTGGGCGTGGGGACAATGTAAGGAGGTGGGGTGCAGATGCAGGCTGCTCAGCAAGTGCTCTGCAATCACACAGCCCAGGGTTGGAATCCCAGCTCTGCTACTTACCTCCGTGTCAACTTATAACAACTTCTCTGGGTAACCTTGTGACTGAGACTCTGTTTCTCTGTCTTTAAAATGAGTATAATGACTGTGCCTCCTGGCAGGATTATTGTGAGGATTGAAGGAGGGAAGTTCTCAACGTGGAGGCTGGTGTCAGGGGTGTCTATAAATGCCATGAGTGAGGACCATGGTGACACGGAGGGTGAGGCACTGAGTGTGATTTGGAAGGCTTAGGGAGGAGTCTGGAAGAACGAGAACTTGCACCCAGTACTAAACAAGTGCACACCAGAATACTGGCTTCTTTTAGCATTTAGTGTCCCAAGCCAGACTTGGAAAGGGCCTGTTGCTAGCCCATCTTCCACCCACAGTGGATTCAAGTCTTGGCTCCACTCACGTACTAGCTCCGTGGCCCTGGGAACATTGCTTAATATCTGTGGGCCTCCAGTGCTTCATCTATAAAGGTGCAACCTTTTTCCCAGGTTCAAGGAGACAATGCATGGAAAGCTCTTGCCACAAATGCCTCGCTGAACAAGCGCTCAGTAAATGTGCTGTAGTCGGTCTTACTAAATCATCAGGTGCATGAACCACAAGCACACCCCAGAGGATTGCCTCCTAGAAAATTCTCTCCCCACCTACTTGCTACTGCCAGAAATCCCTTTAGTAGGAAACAATCTTTCAGGACACCTGGATGGCTCAGTAGGTTAAGCATCCGCCTTTGGCTCAGGTCATGATCCCAGGGTCCTAGGATCGAGTCCCGCATTGGGCTCCCTGCTCAGAGGGAAGCCTGCTTCTCCTTCTGCCTGCCGCTCCCCCTGCTTGTGTTCCCTCTCTCGCTGTGTCTCTCTTTGTCAAATAAATAAAATCTTAAAAAAAAAAAAAAAAAAAAAAAGGAAACAAATCTTCCATGCCACAACTGGGGATGAAGTTTAAATGTAAAAACATTGGAGGAAGTGGGGCAGCTGGGTGGCACAGTCGGTTAAGCATCAGACTCTTGGTTTCAGCTCAGGTGGCTGAGTCGGTTAAGCGTCTGCCTTCGGCTCAGGTCATGATCCCAGGGTTCTGGGATCGAGCCCCACATCAGGCTCCCTCCTCGGTGAGGAGCCTGCTTCTCCCTCTCCTCCCCCACTCATGCTCTCTGTCTCAATCTCTGTCTCTCTCTCTCTCAAATAAGTAATTGAAATCTTTAAAAAAAAATTATCATCCAAGGTGGAAATAAGCAGGGCCTGGGATCCCCGGGAGTTACCCCAATCCCTAAAACCCTCAAATAGAAGGTGCTTTTGTAATACCCCTTGGATAGACATGCCCAGAGTGACACAGAGCTCCACGCTGAACCAGGGCTGCTTGAAGTCAAGTAAGAGGAGACCCCCCACAGCCCCATCTTCCGAGATTCAGATAGATTATTAAGTGAGTAAGAGGATGGGCTCTAGAGTCAGCTTGGGTTCCAGCCCTGGCTCTGCCATTACCTGGCTGTGTGACCTTAGACAGGTTAGTTAGTTAGTTTTTCCAAGTCTCCTCTCAATTTACACATGAAAGGAAGCTAATAATAGTACCTATCTCATAGCTAAGGCTATAGTAAGGATTCACAGAAAATACATGTGAAATCATTTGCACCAGATTCTAAAAATAAAAAAGCAAATGAAGTCCTCCAGCATACTGTTCACTCTGTAAGAGGGCAGCTGAGGTGGCTTGAAGAGGGGAGTCTCCCTGAAGCACATTACCAAGTTACTGATGAACAGAAAGCAGCTGTGGGAGCAGACTAACCCCGGGGAGGATGACATCAGAAGTAGGACATTCACACTCTAGTCAAAAAGAGAAATACAAATTAAGACCACAGTTAGATATGTTTTGTCTTCCTTTAAATTATCTAATATTTTTTTTAAAATCCCCAGAATTATCACACATGTGGGCAAACCAACTCTCTTGTTCATTGCAAAACAACTGTCACAAGGATAATTAAGCCATAAGTATCAAACGATGTGTAAATATGCAAAATTTTAACCCAGTAATTTCACTTCCAGCAAAGAATCCTATAGGAATCAGTAAGGATGTGCATAAGGATTTACTGGTGAAGATGCTCATCACAAAGTTATTTTCGAAAAGGAAAAACTGAAAGAAACCCAAAAGTCCTTTAAAATGAATAGTGACCTATTTATGATACATTCTTGCTATGAAATACTATGCAGCATCTCATAATCATGCCATAGAACAATCTTTAATAGCACCGGGAAATTTTTACTATAATCCAAACCAATAACTTTAAATGCAATACGCATAGTATGATACCATTTAGGGAGAAGGTGTTTAGGAAAAAAAGGCAAGAATGTAGATACTAAAAAATGACTGCTTCTGGGGGGTGGCAGTGAGGATTAAAGGTGACCTTATTTCCTCTATATTTTCCAAATTTTCTACCTTGAATACCTATAACTTTGATGATCAGAAAACAAACACAGTGAATATTAAAAGACAGAGGAGGAAGATGACCAGGAAGCAAGGAGAAGGAGGAGAAACAGAGTAAACTTTGAGCAAAGGCACAGACAGCCCAGGAAGGCAAAGAAGCCCAGCTGGAAGTGCCCCCCCTACCCCCCGGGGTCCACAGCCAGAAGCTGCAGCCGTAGCTGCTCAGCCGGCCCTATTCTCAGAGCTTGGAATGGAAAATTAACAAGTTCTCAGTTAACATATATTGATATTATAATAATCAACATTATATTAATGTAGGATTGAATTAACACTAAATCATAAATATGTTTTTGAATTGCTAATATTGTTCTATATTAACAGTAGCTCCCATTTCCTATACCTATAGGTACTCTACATATATTGTCTTTGGTATTGACAATAACCCTGAAAAGTAGAAATTACTTTCCTCATTTTACACTTGGAATAAGAAAGGCAATCATGCACACACCAGGGTATTATGCAAGCAAACTGACAGGCTCCTTTCTGGAAGTAAGTAGAATGTAAAACATGGATAAATAGATGAAAGAATGAATGAAGGCATACACCTGTAGCATGAGATACAAAATGGGCAAGAGACTTCCTCACTTTTCAGAGTGATTATCATGGAATTCCTTTATGAAGAAAGTCCTCGTAATAATATAAAATATGATTTCACTTCCTAAAGTTCAATATACATACACAATTTAAGGACCATTGATATCTTAACAACATGGAGTGTTTTGGCCAATGAATATGGTTTATCTCCCCACTTATTCACGTCTTCTTTCATTTCTCTCAGCAGTATTTTATAGTTCTCAGTGTATAAATCTTACATATCTTTTGTCAGCTTCATTCCTAAATATTTAATATTTGATGCTATTGTAAATGGTATTGTTATTAATTTTAATTTCTGATTTTTCATTATGAGCATATAAAAACATGGTTGATTTTTGTGTATTGGTTTTATATCCATGATCTTGCTAACTTCACTTGTTAGTTCTAGGCGTTTTTCTGTAGCTTCCATAGGATTTTCTACATAGGTGATCACATCATCTGTGAATAAAGAAAGTCTTACTTCTTCCTCCATAATCTGGAGGTCTTTTATTTCCTTATCTTGCCTTATTGCATGGTTCCTTGCTTTGTTCCTGATACTAACAGAAAACATTCCTTCTTCACCATTGGGTGTAATATAAGCTTTTCATAGATGCCCTGTATCAAATCAAGCAAATTCCCTTCCATTCCTAGTTTACTGAGAGTTTTTATCAGGAATGGATGTTAAATTTTGTCAGATGACATTTTTGTATCTATTGTGATGATCAGATAACTTTTAATTTTTAGTTTGTTTCATATAGTAAATACATTGGTTGATTTTTAAATATTAACCAACCTTATATTCTGGGGATAAACCCCAGTCAATCATGATGTAGTATCCTTTTTCTATATCTTTGGGTAAAATTTTTTAAAATGCTAAGAATTTTCGCCTCTATGTCCATGAAAGATAAGGTCAGTATCTCTCTTGTAATACCTTTTTCTGATTTTGGTAATTAAAAGTAATGCTGTTGACATAGAATAAGATGAGAAGTATTCTCTCCTCTTCAATTTTCTAAGAGTTTATGCAGCACTGATATTATTTCTTCCTCAAATGTTTGATGGAAATCACCCCTGAAGCCATCTGAGCCTGGAGTTTTTTTTATGAGAAGGTTTGTAACTACACATTCAATGTCTTTAAAATAAACATAGGGTAACTCAGATTATCCACTCCTTCTTGAGAGAGTTTGGTAGTTTGGGTCTTTCAAGAATTTGCTTCATCTGGGGCACCTGGGTGGCTCAGTCATTAAGCGTCTGCCTTCGGCTCAGGTCATGATCCCAGGGTCCTGGGATCAAGCCCCGCATCGGGCTCCCTGCTCCGCGGGAAGCCTGCTTCTCCCTCTCCCACTCCCCCTGCTTGTGTTCCCTCTCTTGCTCTCTGTCAAATAAATAAATAAAATCTTAAAAAAAAATTTTTGCTTCATTAATTAACTAATGTAGTGATGTCACCTCTCATTCCTGACATTGGTCATTTGTGTCTCTTTTTTCTTGATTAGTCTGGCTAGAGCTTTATCATTTTTATTGATCTTCTCAAAGAACCAGCTCTTGATTTCATTGATTTTCTCTAATGTTTTTCTGGTTTCTACTATATCAGTTTCTGCTCAGATTGTTATTACTTCCTTTGTTCTGCTTCCTTTGGGTTTATCTTTTTCTTGTTGCTTAGGTCATTGATTTGAGATCTTTTCTAATATATTCATGTAGTACTATAAATTTCTCCCTAGCTCTTGCTTTAGTGACATCCCACAAATTTTGATATATGGTGGTTTTTATTTTCATTATGTTCAAAATACTTTCTAATTTCCCTTTTGATTTCTTCTTTGACCTATGGGTTATTCACAAGTGTGTTATCTAGTTTCTAAATATTTGGGAACTTTCAAGATGCCTTTCTATTATTAATTTCTTGTTCTTAGGGATTATTTATTTGAGAGAGAGAGAGAGCACACACATGCCAAGAAAGGTGAGCGGGGGCGGGGGTGGGGAGAGAATCTTCAAGCAGACTTCCTACTGAGCACGGAGCCAGACCCGGGGCTCAATCCCACAACCCATGAGATCATGACCTGAGTTGAAACCAAGAGTTGAGCGCTTAACCAGCTGAGCAATCCAGGTGCCCCTCTGTTATTAATTTCGAATTTAATTCCATCATGGGCAAAAAACATACATTGTATGATTTGAATCCTTTTAAACTTACTGACTTGTTTCATGTGTGAGCATATGGTCTATTTTGGTAAATGTTTCACATGTCTTTTTTAAAAATGTGTATTCTGTTGTTGGGTAGAGTGTGACTAGTGTGATGTAAGATCTTAGCTTTTTTATTAAAGATGTGAATTTCATTCATAATCTCATCTGAAAAGAGCATTTCAGCCATTTAAAAAAAGTTTGGCAGGGGGAGCCTGGGTGGCTCATGCTGTTAAGCATCTGGCTCAGCTCAGGTCATGATTTTGGGGTCCTGGGATCGAACCCCACACAGGGCTCCCTGCTCAGTGGGGAGTCTGCTTCTCTCTCTGCCTCTGCCTGCCACTCCCCCTGCTTGTACTCTCTCTCTCAAATAAATAAATAAAATATATTTTTTTAAGATTTTATTTATTTATTTGACAGAGAGAGAGAGAGAGAGATCACAAGTAGGCAGACAGGCAAGCAGAGGGAGAGGGAGAAGCAGGCTCCCTGCTGAGCACAGAGCCCGATGTGGGGCTCGATCCCAGGACCCTGGGATCATGACCTGAGCTGAAGGCAGATGCTTAACCATCTGGAGCCACCCAGGCGTCCCAATAAATAAAATATTTTTTAAGAAAGTTTTTATTAAACAAAATGCATTGCTTTCTCTATCCTACTTATTGTAGAAAATCTGGAAATTACCCCAAAAAATGGCTAAAAATGTTTAAATCATTTGTAATCCCTCCACCCAGAGACATGTTTCTTCAAATATTTTTTCGGTGCATGTGTATAACTTTTTTTAAAAATTGGACCACACTGTATGTACTGTTGACATCTGACATTTTCCCTAAGCACTACATTATGTACATTTTCCCATACCATCAAATATTCTTTTAATGACTTAAGTGTTCCATCATGGATATCAGAGAGGTTTTTTTTTTTTTTAAAGATTTTATTTATTTATTTGAGAGAGAATGAGATAGAGAGAGCATGAGAGGGGGGAGGGTCAGAGGGAGAAGCAGACTCCCTGCCGAGCAGGGAGCCCGATGCGGGACTCTATCCCGGGACTCCAGGATCATGACCTGAGCCAAAGGCAGTCACTTAACCAACTGAGCCACCCAGGCGCCCCTATCAGAGTTTTTAAAATAATTTTATACTGTAGGATATCTAGGTTTTCTGACACATTGATATTATAAGCATTGCTACAATTGGTAATGCATTGAGGGCCAGAGTTAGAAGTCTTAGCCCTAATCTTGGTTTAGTCCCTAACTAACTATTGACTCTGTAACTTTAAGCAAGCCCCTTAAACTCTTAGGCTTTGAGTTTCCCATCTTTAAAATAGAGAGACTTTTGGGCGCCTGGGTGGCTCAGTTGGTTAAGCGACTGCCTTTGGCTCAGGTCATGATCCTGGAGTCACAGGATCGAGTCCCACATCGGGCTCCCTGCTCAGCAGGGAGTCTGCTTCTCCCTCTGACCCTCCTCTCTCTCATGCTCTCTGTCTCTCATTCTCTCTCTCTCAAATAAATAAACAAAATCTTTAAAAAATAAAATAAAATAGAGAGACTTTTAATGTACGCTGCCAAATTGCCTTCTAGAAAGGTCAGATCAATTTATCAAAGTTAGGAAATTGCTTATTTCTCACAACCTTGCTGTCACAGGGTTTTATGTTTTTAAAAAATCTTTGTCATTTTAATGATAACAAAATGGCATCTCTTTTAAAAGAATTAATGGTGTTTTATTTTAATTTATATTTTTTTGATTACTTATTTGTTATTTGGACTTTGTCAATTACTTGTCTAAATACTTTGTCCATTTTTTAATGTGGGCATTTGTCTCTTTAATGGTTTGCAAAATTTTGCATACAGGAACAATTTTTTTTCTACTACACATGTTGGAAACATTTTGTCCCCAGGCACTCATTTACTTTTAGGTTTTAAAGACTTTAATTTCAAAACTTTTAACACACAATGGAAGTTCCCTTGACAACATCAAGCAGGCTAAGAAGACCCTCAAAATCTACAAATGATCCGTCTAAATGCACACAGCACAGGACCTGGCTAATAATAAGGGCTAAATAGATGATACCTGTAATAATTAATAATGATAACAATAATACTTCAATGAGAGTCTTTCGTCAAAACCTATCCAGCCCCCTTGTCACTCATCCTTTTGGGCTCATTGCCCCTTCCCCCATTTCATCCTCTAAAATGTGAGTGACGAGAAAGGGGATAGTTTCTCCAACGAACCTGAGGATCTTGAGAAAGCTGAAGGACTAAAAAGAATGAAGAGAAGAGAGGGGGAGAAGGACTCACCACCTTTGGAATCGAGGGCCCTTTGTCCCTCACCAGCAGAGCTGGACTCTTCAAGCTGGGAACGTTCCCTCCATCCATTCAGGGAGATGAGGCATCAGGCAGGAAAATCAGGAAGGCTACGGAGGTGAGCCTGGCAAGAGTTTACCTTTTTACTGGAAGCCCGAAGAAGCCCGAAGCCGGGGGCTCCCCCTGTCCCACACACTTCCCTCTAACTGTCTCCTCCTACACACCAACAAGCCACACCCTGCCTGTCTGCTCCTGATAAAGGAACAGAGCAAAGAGGAGTCTCCCTAAAAGCAAGGGAACCCCCCAGTGCTACCCGGTGTAAGGGACCTTTGCCTCTCAGCCCCCTTTCCCTCCTAAGCTAGCTGCGTAGTGGTTCCCTTCAATATGTTTCGATCCTATCACACTCTTTCTGACAAGCTTGCTCCCCTTTACTTTCCATATTAGAGTAAAATTGAAGTTTGGTTTCAAAGACACCCAACAATTAGCTACCTTCTTTAACTCACTACTTTTATCTCCAGCTGCACCCCGACGTGTGCTTTCTGACAAACGGACTTGCTTACTGTCTCCCAACATGTGATAAACCCTTTCCTGCCTATCCTGCTTTCATAATATCCGTAACTCTATATTCATAATATCCATAATTGTATCCTTAACAACGCATTATGTATTTTTGAACTTTATACAAATGGAGCACATTGTACATAATTCTCTGTGATTTCCTTTTTTCACTCAACCTTAGTTTCTGGGTCTAGCAGACACCTGTGGTGGCCCACACCATATGCCCTCAGCATCTCCCCAACCCTTGCCCGATTCTGGGGTAGCTGAAACTTGCAGGCAAGCTGCCAGCAAGCCACCTCAAAAGCCACAGTGTCTCTTTGCTTATCTGAATCTATGAAGGCTGGGAAGCCTGTTCAACCTGTATGCAGCCCAGGAGTTTAGGAACCTGAATAGCCCAGGGGACCAACTGGGCAGTGACAGGCGTCAGTGGAAAATGCTCCAGCCTCACACCTTTGGAGGGACAGTTCTGAGCTGTACTCTACACAATACCTCAGAGAGTTCCCAGAGGGAATGAGCTCAGTAACCCACAGACATCAGTAGTTCAATAATGCACATTTTAGTGCTTTTTCTTCCTTTTCTTCTCACTCACCATTTCTGATTCCTGGGATCACCTCTTAAGTAAGCACTTGCACTGAAGGACTCAGTTCACACTCTGCTTTTTGTTGGAGTACAGATTAAGATATTGAAATTCATCCAGATGGATTCACAGAGCTCTGGTACATTCATTCCTTACTGTGTGGTAGACACTGTATGAATATACCAACATTTCGTCCATTCCCTCATTGATAAAAATGTGGCTTTTACAAACAGTGCTGCTAGGAACATTCTTTCCTGGTTCACGTGTGCAAGAGTTTCTTTAGGACAGCCATGTGTGGGGTCTCTGGGGTCCATGAACTCCGGGAGCCCCTGAGATCCTTTCATGAGGTCGCCCAGTATTCTTATGTCCATAATAATACTAGGCTGTTGTTTATTTTTTCACTGTGTTGACATTTCATCTGTTCCTGTGGGCTTGAGAGCTTCCCAATAAAAAAAGATTGTTCTCATGAGACTGGCAGTGACATTAATGATTAGTGGTTTTTTGATGTTGTGTAATGAAATGTGTCAACATTTGAAAGAGCTGCATAACTCCATGAACCAATAACTTCCAAATGGCTAATGCATGTCGACAAAAATCATGCAAAGGTAAAAAATCTATTCAATATGCAAGATAAACCAGTGGGTTTAACTGTAACAGAGTATAAGAAGTTCGTTGGTGTATTATACACTTGGAAGTTGCTAAGAAAGGACATCTTAAATGTTCCCACCACAACAAAGAAATGGTAATTATGTGACAGGATGGGAAGGTGTCAGCAAACTTTATGGTGGTAACCATTTCACGACATATAAATGTATCAAGTCTTACAAGTTGTAAACCTGTCTGTCAGTTATATCTCAATAAAGCTGAGGGGAAAAAGACAAGAAAAGTTTACTGGTATGATTTTAGATCCTATGCTGCAGTAACCTTTCAGAAACTACCACTTGCCAAGTGTGGCTATAGTATCAAAGAAGAATATCCACAGTTACCTGAGGAGGCGAGTGAAATGCCCTTTTCCACCCATTTCAACCACACAGCCTCCTGCCGCAGATCGAATGCAAGAGCTGATATGAGAATCCAGCTGTCCCAGCCAGCCACTTAAGAGATGTATAGATATGTAAAACAGGACCACTCTTCTCACTAATTTTTTTGTTTCAGATAAGTTGTTTTTCATAAAACGTGGTGTTTATGTTAACATGTGTATTTGTTATGTTTAGGTCATGTTTGTGTTTACATATGTTTATGTTAACATATGTTTATGCTAACGTAAGTGTTTATGTGTATTATTATTGCCTTTTTAAAAAATTTTTATTTAAATTCAAAAATTAACATAGAGTGTATTATTAGTTTCAGAGGTAGAGGTCATTGATTCATCAGTCTTTTTTTTTTTTAAAGATTTCGTTTATTTGAGAGTGAGAGAAGGAGAGACAGTGAGAGAGTACAAGCGGGGAGGGAGAAGTGGGCTCCCTACTGGGAGCCTGATGCGGAACTCGATCCCAGGACCCGGGATCATGACCTGAGCTGAAGGCAGATGCTTAACTGACTGAGCCACCCAGGCGCCCCAATTCATCAGTCTTATATAGTACCCAGTGCTCATTACATCACGTGCCCTCCTTAATGCCTGTCACCCAGTTACCCCATCCCCCACCCCCTATTATTGTCTTTAAGTGAAGTAATAATTATATTTAAAACTTCTTACTTTAATTTCTACTATGGCAAATTTCAAAAAATATAACCTTTATAAACTGAAGCTCCTTAGGGTCCTCAATAATTTTTAAGGTACACATAAACACACACACAGCTACATACATCATGCTACCACTACACCTATCAAAACTGGCAATAATCCCTTGATATTATTTGATATGCAGTCTACGTTCACACGTTTTCAGTGTCAAACATGTCTTTTTACATGTGGTTTGGTCAAAACTGGATCCAAGCAAGATACACATATTACATTTTGTTGTTAAGTTGCTAAAGTGTCTTTATTCTATAATGATCCCTCTGTCCTTTTAAAATTTTCTTCATACTCTTGATTGTTGGTAAAACTTAGAAATTTGTCTTGTACAATGTCCTACATTCTGGATTTGGCTGATTGCCTTTGAGTGGTATCATTTAATTTATTTCTCTATCCCTCATATTTCTGCTGAATTGGAAAGCTAGAGGTTTGATTAGATTCAGGTCCACTTCTAAGCTCTGTGACTTGGGTGAGAGCCTCACCTTTCTGTGTCTCGGTTTCCTTACCGGTAAGAATGGTAACTACCTCATTACAGTAGCATAAGGATTAAATTAGTTAAAACATGTAAAATACTCAGAACAGTGCTTGACACCCAATATATGGTAGCTGTTATCATTACTTGAGAAAAGCCTCCAACTTCAAAGCCAAAGCCAGAGACTAAAATAAACAACAAAGACAGGGTGCCTGGGTGGTTCCATCATTGGGCGTCTGCCTTTGGCTCAGGTCATGATCCCAGGGTCCTGGGATCAAGCCCCGCATCGGGCTCCCTGCTCAGCGGGAAGCCTGCCTCTCCTTCTCCCACTCCCCCTGCTTGTGTTCCCTCTCTTGCTGTCTCTCTCTCTGCCAAATGAATAAACAAAATCTTAAAAAAATAAATAAATAAACAACAAAGACAATCTAGGAAGTAAAAGAAAATGGCAGAAAATCACAATTGATGTCCTCAGAAATATGAAAGAAGAGAAGGTCCTGAATTCACAACACAAAGCAAGAGGTTACCAAAAGGAAAGCCAAGAAACCAGGAAAAAGTCTTGGAAATTAAAATTTTATAGCAGAAACTAAAACATTCAACAGAAGAACTAGAGGATAAAGTTCAGGAGAATCTCTGATAAAGTAGAATAAGCAAAACCAAGAGAGGGAAAATGAGAAAGAAAAGATTTTAAACACAAGAAAATCTATCACAGAGAAAGTCTCCCCAAAGCCTAGACATTTCCTGTGTGCCTAGCACAATGAATGAAAAAGACTTACCAGGACACATCATTATGAAGATTTGGAGCGCCAAAGATGAAGGAAAAATATATATCCTAAAAAATTCCAGAAAACAGGGCCCCTGGGTGGCTCAGTTGGTTAAGCGACTGCCTTCGGCTCAGGTCATGATCCTGGAGTCCCGGGATCGAGTCCCGCATCGGGCTCCCTGCTTGGCGGGGAGTCTGCTTCTGCCTCTGCCCCTCCTCCCTCTCATGCTCTCTGTCTCTCATTCTCTGTCTCGCAAATAAATAAAATCTTTAAAAAAAAAATTTAAAAAAAAATTCCAGAAAACAAACTCACAAACAAAAATTACATAGGACATGATGGAAATCAGAATAAATCAGACTTCCCCAGAGTCTAACCACATGAGAAGCTAAAGGACAATGGATCAATGCTTTTAAAATTCTGAGAGAATATGATTTCCAATCTGGAAATCCGTATCCTGCCAAGCTGTCAAGTGTGAGAGAAAATAAAGCCATTTTTAGACAAGGTTTCAAAAATTTACCTCCCATGAACCCCTTCTGGGGAGGTTACTGGAGAATGTGCTCTTCTGAAATGAGAGAATAAACCACAACTGGATGATCAGGGGATTTGGCACCGGAGAGTAGAGATGGGAATCCCCAGAATGTGGTTAGGGGAAATCCTAGGACAATAGTTGGACAGTGAGGCCAAGATGACAATTTGGAGAGAGGAGGATGGGCTCGAGGAAGGATGTCTCCAAGAAAAAAAAAAAAAAGACACTGAGAGATCACCAGATTCACATGACCAGATCAAGAAATGTTTTATAGTCCAGATGGAGAATTTGGGGGAAGAATTAACAATAGATGCATAATTAAGTGAATGAAAAAAAAAGGCAATTTTTGACTCTAGGAGAGAAAGGTTGTTCAATAAAGTGAAAGTAATCTCAGTCTGGTGTACAGCTCAATTGTAAAAATATTCCATAGTTATGTTAATGTAAACTCTGGCTCAGCCAACTAGGGAATTGTGCACATTGGCCAAGTCTGTTGATGGTCACAAAAAGACAGAAAGACAGATAGGTAGATGGATAGATAGAGATCATAAACTCATAGAGGAAGAACAAGTAGGGGACTTTCACTCCCTCCAGACTCCAGCCTCACTTTCCTGATGAAGAGTTCCAAACCAGTGTCCTTTCTGGAGCTAGACAACTCTTCTTGCACCCTCTAAATTTAAACTCTCTCTTACACCCACATGCACACACACCCCTCTGACTTACCCTCTTCCTCAATCCTTTCCCAAGCCAACAGCATACCTTCTTTTTTATCAGTGTCTCCACTATTTTTCCAATATTCTTTGGCTTCTCCACTCCTTTATACCCTATATCCAGTCTGTTTTAGTTGTCTTTCTAAAGCTTTCCAAAGGTCCCTGCCCTGTTTCCAGCTGTAATACACTCCAATCTAATCTGGCCACGTTTATTATTAACAATAATCCAACCAAAATTAATATAGAAGTTTAAAATAACATTTGTTAGACTTTCTTCTCTTTAAAAGAAAGTATAAACCTTACTAAAGTATAAGTGTTCATTGTAGAAATTTTGCAAAATAAAGAAAAGCACAAAGAAGGTAAATCTATCACACTTGGGGCGCCTGGGTGGCTCAGTCAGTTAAGGCATTTGACTCTTGATTTTTGGCTCAGGTCATGATCTCAGGGTTGTGAGATCGAGCCCTTCTTTGGGCTCCACTCTGGGTGTGGAGCCTGCTTAAGATTCTCTCCCTTTTCCTCTGTGCCTGCTCCTGATCGTGAGCTCTGTCTCAAAAAAAAAAAAAAAAAAAAAAAAAAAAATCCCCTCTACTCTCAAAATAATCTGGATTTATGTTTTGGTGTGTTTTCATACAGCCTCTTTGCCATATGTATAAATAATCTTTTTTGAAACAAATACTGTGATTACTGTGATTATGTTGTATGTTCCTCTTTGTAACTTTTTCATTTAATAAAAACATTTTATTATATCAATAAATATTCTTCTACGTCATTTTGATGGCTGCATGGAATCCCATGCCAGCCATCCTATTGTTTATTTAATCAACCCCGTTACAATTATTTTGTTTCCAGTTTTTTACTTTTTTTTTTAGATTTTATTTATTTATTTTAGAGAGAGAGAGCAAAAGAGCCCTAGCAGGGGATAGGGGCAGAGGGAAAAGGAGAAGCAGACTCCCCATTGGGCACCAGCCAGATGTGGGGCTGGATCCTGGATCATCCCTGGGATCATGACCTGAGCCCAAGGCAGAGGCTTAACAGACTAAGCCACCCAGGCGCCCCTCCAGTTTCTTACTCTTAAGAATAGTGCTATCTCTGATTATTTAGTTAGGATAACTTAGAAGTGGAATTGCTGAGTCAAAGGTTGTGCTTTTTTAATATTGTGGTAAAAAAAGGCCTTAATATAAAATTTCCCACCTTATTTAAGTGTACAGTACAGTGGTATTAAATATATGCACATTCTTGTGCAAAAGATCTTTAGGACTTTTTCATCTTACAAAACGGAAACTCCATATCCATTGAACAACTTCCTGCTTAGCATCCATCAGTTGTTTCAATTCTTGCCTAATTCTTAGAGGAACAGAAGTAGGGGATCTTGGGCGCCTGGGTGGCTCAGTTGGTTAAGCGACTGCCTTCGGCTCAGGTCATGATCCTGGAGTCCCTGGATCGAGTTCCGCATCGGGCTCCCTGCTCGGCAGGGAGTCTGCTTCTCCCTCTCCCGCTCCCCCCTCTTGTGCTCGCTCTCTCTCTCACTCTCTCTCTCAAATAAATAAATTAAAAAAAAAAAAAAAGAAGTAGGGGATCTGGACGACATGTGTTCCTCTGGATAGGCCATTGTCCTATCCTGAATCCTGGCTGAAGTACTTGCTGCGGTACTTACTAGCTGTGTAACCGTGGACAAGTCACTTAACTTCTCCGTGCCTCTGTTCCCTTATCTGTACGATGGTGATAATAACATGTCACTATACATGTACGTTACTGTACGCATTTATCAACAGGAATAAATGAGTTAATAAATGTGAAGCTCTAAGAACGGTGTGTGGAATATCATAAGCCCCGAAGAGAGGCAGCTGTTATTATTGTTATTATTATTAGACTGAACAAGATTCTGTTGTCAAAGCATTTACCTACTATTTTCTTCAATCCTGTTCTAATAAATGAAAAACGACAGCCAGCTATTTTAATTTGTAAAATTATTATAATTGTAAAATTGTAATTGTAAAACAACTGTAATTGTAAAATGATGTATTATCAGTGAGCTTGCACATTTCTCTATACTTATATTGGTTATTTACATTTGTCCTGACTTCCTGCTTCAAAACACTGTGGCCGCAAGACCTCACTTGGTCTTCCTAACAAGCTCGTAAATCAAGAAGGCGCAAATCACCATCCCCACTTTTCGAATTAAGAAACTGAGGCCCTCGGGGCGTCTGGGTGGCTCAGTCGTTAAGCGTCTGCCTTCGGCTCAGGTCATGATCCCAGGGTCCTGGGATCGAGCCCCGCATCGGGCTCCCTGCTCTGCGGGAAGCCTGCTTCTCCCTCTCCCGCTCCCCCTGCTTGTGTTCCCTCTCTCGCTGTGTCTCTCTCTGTCAAAGAAATAAATAAAATTAAAAAAATAAAAAAAGAAACTGAGGCCCAGAAAGTTACAATTCTCGGCCCAGGTTTTAGATCTCACCCTTCAAAGCCCAGCAGCTGCCCCAGAAAATACTCCCGGGAAAGCATTGTTAAAGCTCCCCAGTTCCAGAGCCCACGCTCGGGAGAAACGGGAGACGCGCAGCTATGCTCTCTACGCACGCGCGGGCCTCTCAGGAGGCGGGGCCTCAGAGCGCGCCGGTCTCCGCCGCCCCGCCTCCCGGCCCGCCTCCGGGTCGCCGCCCCGGCCCCGCCCAATCCGAGGCGCGGCGGGCTCGCGACTCCAGGCCGGGAGGTAGGGGAAGGCCGGCGTGTCCCACGTGGGGCCTTGCCGGCGACGCGGCGGAGTCCCGGAGTCCCGAGACGGGGAGGGCCGGCGCCGACTCCTGACCGCCGCCCGCCGCCCGCCGCCATCTTGCACCCGGAGAGGGCAGCGGCGGGCGGGGGAGCGTCTCCTGGGGCCGGGCTTGGGCCCAGGGCGGGCGGTGGCGGAGGGCGGGCCGGGGCGGGGCGGTGGCCCTGCGACCGAGCCGGGCCGTAGGTGCCCGGCCGGCCAGAGGTGGGAAGGCCGTGGCCCTGAGACTGCGCGAGGCCCGGGCCTCCCCGCCGCCCGCTCCGAGGCTGGGACTGGCTCGCCCCGCCGGGTCGCGGTGGCCTCGCAGTTAGAACAACGCGCTGCAGTGTAGGAACGTGGCACAGGCCCTCTCGCTCGCTCCTCACGCCAGGGAAGGGGCTGTTGTCCCATTTTGCATACACGAAACTAAGGCTCAGAGTGGAGAGGGGATTTCATTTTAGTATTTAAGTATTTAATATCAAGAGAAAGTTTGCTGCATTGCCTTCCCTCTTTCTCTAAGTTTTATTCTTTCTTGCTTTTTCTTTTTTTCTTAGTAATTTAAAAATACAGAATTTTTTTTTTAAATTTCAGAAAAATAGATAGTACAACAGTTTGCCCAGAGACACCCGGCAAGGTCATGGCGGTGGGTTCGGTCTTAGTCCACCTAATCCAGCGCTCTTTCCACAGGGCCACTCTGCCTCACCTGTCAAAGGAGGGTGCTGAACTTGGATATTAGTTAAGGCAGTGACTGGAAATTCTTTTTCTTTTCTTTCCTTTCTTTCTTTTGTTAATCAGGCAGTCTCTTCTGCACCATCCAGGTCAGAGCTAAGAAGTGTTCAGAAGCCGAGTCATGGATCAACCTACCCGTAAAGAAAAATCCAAAGTTAAAGAACCTGTCAGCAGAGTTGAGAAGGCCAAGCAGAAATCAGCCCAGCAGGAGCTGAAGCAAAGACAAAGAGCAGAGGTGAGATTAAGGAGGAGGCCTGTATACCTGTAGTCTGCTGTAGATGGTGCTGGAATAGAGAGGAGAGCTGTGAGGGGGAGGGCTATTTGCCTCTAGGCAAAACAGCTGTTCTCCTAGGAGGAGGTCATTGAGGTCCAGAATGATGAAGTGGCAGCCCAGAGTCACATGCCAGGTTACTGTCCGAACCCTGACCATCTCCAGGTGACTCCTGGTGCAGAGCTTTTGTGGAAGAAAGAAAGGAAAAAGAGAAGGGACATGTCAGGGAGGGGTCAGCGAGAGACAACAAGTGTTGGACACCCCCTAGCACAGGTGTTCAGGCTTTGTCCTGGAGAGTAGCTGCTCAGAACCAGAAGTAGAGGCCCAAGCTCTACATCCACCAAATGTATTTCTTTGTTCCGTCAACACTTAGAATCAGCTTGAGAATGAAAAGCTAAACTGTTCACACTACCTATGTGGAACCACATCCAGACATGTATTTTTATTTTAGTATTTAATATCGGAAGAAAGCTTGCTGAAAATTCTTCCCTCTTTCGAGGCATTGTATTTGTTTCTTTTTTGAGAAATTTAAAAATACAGAAAAACAAAATATTAAAACAAACACCTGCGTACTCAGTGCGCCAGATTGGTAGTCGTTAATATTTTGTCATATTCGCCTGGAGCCTTTTAGATAAACAAAAATTGCATATGAATTTGAAGTCCTCTTTGTCCATTTCCTATCTTACACCCTTTTCCCCTCTGTATGGGCATCCACTATAATTTTTTATGCTTTTACACTCAGATATATTAATAGATATCCTTGAGTAATATACAATATTCTTTTGTGTTTTAAAATTTTACATTAATAAAATTCTGTGTTTTATTTTACATTTTGCTTACATTATGTTTAGAACTATTCATGTTAATATAGTTTATTCCTCATCACTGCTTACAGTAGTCTATTTTATTTTTTTTATTTTTAAAGATTTTATTTATTTGAGAAAGCATGAGCAGGGGGAGGGGCAGAGGTAGAGCGAGAAGCAGACTCTGAGCTCCCCTGAGCGGGGAGCCCCATGCAGGGTTCCATCCCAGGACCCCAAGATCATGACTCGAGCCAAAGTCAGACGTTTAACTTACTGAGCCAGCCGGGCACCCCAATTTTATTTTTATTTTTTAAGTTTTCATTTAAATTCCAGTAGTTAAAATACAGTGTCATATTAGTTTTAGGTGTACAATGTAGTGATTCAACACTTCCATACAAAAGCTAGTGCTCATCACCCATCACACCCATCCCCCCCCCACCTACCCTCCGGTAACCATCAGTTTATTCTCTGTATTCAAGAGTCTGTTTCTCGGTTTAAGAACCAAAACAAATGAGCATGAGGGGAAAGGGAGAGAGAGATACAGTAGTCCATTTTATGAAGCCACTTTAGTATATTTACCCATTCCTCCATTGATGAACATTTAAATTACTTACAGGTTTTTTGCTACTACGAACGTTGCTGTAGTGAAAAACTTGGATGTCTCCTTTGGCACCTGTGCTAGAATTTCTGTAGAGCATATTTGACTAGAAGCAGAATTACAGTGTGTATTTCAGTTTTACTAGACCTTGCCAGATTGCTGTCAAACAGATTGTACAAGTCTTTACTCCCATCACCAGTGTAAGAGAGTTCTCATTCCTCACTTCTTTTCCACATTAAATTTGTGTTGATTTGATCCATTCGTTAAATACTGAGCTGCTATGTACCCCGCACTGGGGCTTGAGATACACGAGTGGACAAGGCAGAGAAGAATCCCTGCCTTCATGGAGATTGCGTTCAGTGCGAGAGGCAGACAGTCAGTATAATAAGTAAATTGAATAGTGTGTTCAAAGTTAATCCATAAACTGAAATCCACCTTTGGATTAAGACAGACCATCTGAGGAGCGCCTGGGTGGCTTAGTCGTTAAGCGTCTGCCTTCGGCTCAGGTCATGATCTCAGGGTCCTGGGATCGAGCCCCGCATCGGGCCCCCTGCTCTGCGGGGAAGCCTGCTTCTCCCTCTCCCACTCCCCCTGCTTGTGTTCCCTTTCTTGCTGTCTTTCTCTATCAAATAAATAAATAAAATCTTTAATTAAAAAAAAAAGACCGTTTGAGAGTTGTAGACATGGATTCTAACAAATTATTCTCCCCTTTACCTCCCCATTGCCACCTGGATCCAGGCCCCCAGATAACTGTACTGCATTGTGCTCTGGGGAACAGTTGGAGGGTTGTTGTGAGGAACAGCCTGAGGAAACTATCCTTTGTGCACACTGTAGGGATAGATGTGGAGGGCTTTCTTGGTGTCCTTATTGACATCCTTCTGGTAAGATTCCACAGGTTAGATTTTATTGGTCCGACTCCAAATTCCAGCTCATCATGAGCCCCAGTTCTTCCCATGGAACCTTGGAGAGGATGCTTCACCTCCCTACACTTCAGTGCCTCAGTTCCCCCTTGAAAAACGAGGGCGATGATATCTACCTCACAAGATTGTTACGAGGAACAGAAACGTGGTGTGTAAAGCCCTCAGCGCAGTGCCTGGCCCAGAGAAAGCCCTCAGTAAAAGGCAGCAAGGAACCATGTGCTTCCCAGCAGGTGACCTGCTTTTATTGTGCGGACTCCGGGTGGAAGGACTGATCACGTTGTTGGTGTCATGCTGAAATGGAATATTGGAACTCAATATTGGAACATTGTGATGTAATACCACCAGGCCCAGGGCCAGCGTGCACGTGCTTGACCATGGGTATCCTCACATGAAAGCTTATTGTTGCTACTCCCATCCCGACCTTTGTAAATCCTGCCTGGCATAAGGCAGGGAGATGTAAATATAAAATAGGTGATTTTGTGACATAGAAGGTATTATCCTCACTTGAAAGCATAGAACCCCTCGTTACTCAGGGATTGAGGGGCACACTGCGAGCTAAACACATCTGACCTTGGGCTCCTGCTTTTTGCTTTGCCCTACAAGCGCCCTGCTGTTGGCTCTATCTGAGCTGCCTGGAATGTAGTCTCCTAAGATAGGAATGTGACAAGACCCTCGTGGGGAGGAGGAGACACAGTTTCCATTCAGTTCTACAGAGATGCCGCATTCCAGAAAGATGTGAGGGAGCGTCATGACGAGTAAATGAAGAGAGGGCACGTGTGGCCATGAAGCCACGTTTGACACAGTTGGCCACCCTTTCCTGCCTGAAAGTCTTTGTTCCTTGGCTTGGGCCTGCTGACCCATTTTGAGTCTCTTCTTTCTCTGCTTATTCTATTTTCCCTTCCACCAGCCTGCCTTCGGGATCTAGAGGTCTCCAAGGAGCTCCTTAATATCGCTCTCGGTCCCCAGCTCAGTCACATGCAGATTAAAATGCTCGTTAAAGCATGAATGGATGAAGCAGAGGTTCGAATGTATATATATTAGAAGTGTATTCACATATATATGATGTGTACAGCTTAAAGAAGATGAATAAAACCAACACCCCATGTCTACCACCCAACTCAAGAAATAGAATGTGACCAGTAACTTGGAAGCTCCTCGGGCCCCACTCTGGTCCTGTCCCCAACCCTTCCCACCAGCAGTGCTCTCATTCCTTGATTTTAATGCTGATCCTGCCCTTGCTGTTCTGCACTAGTTTAGTATTTCTCTGTGTACCCCCAAATGATATTTTGTAGCCTAACAATATACTGTCTAGTTGTGCATGTTTCTGGGGCACCTCAATAGGTTGGGCGCCTGCCTGTGGCTTGGGTCATGATCCCAGAGTCCTGGGATCGAGCCCCATGTTGGGCTCCCTGCTCAGCGGGGAGCCTGCTTCTCTCCCTCTATCCCCCAACTCCTGCTCTCTCTCTCTCACCTTCACTCTCTCTCTCTCAAATAGTTGTGCATGTTTCTGAATTTATATATGTTACTACATTCTGTGACTGGCTCTCTTCACTCAGCTTCTTTTCTTTTTTTAAACTATTCAGACCTATTTATTTGTTTTCATTGTGGTAAAATAGACATAACAGAAGAGTTAACCATTTTAACCATCAATATTATGCTTTTCGAGAATCATTTGCATTGATTTATTAATTGTTTTCATCATTGTGGAATAGCCTTTTCCCTAAAGATTATAGGATCTTACCACAGTTAAAAAAAAAGAGGGGGGGGTGGAGAAGATTATAGGATCATTCAAACTTTCTATTTAGTCAGTTTTGATCATTTTACTCATTCTAGCAATTTATTTCATTTACGTTTTCAAACTTATTGACACAAAGTTCGTAATGTTTTCATTTGATCTCCATTATATCAGTAATTATGTTTCCTTTTTGATTCTAATAATGTTTGCTTATGTCAACCCCTTTTTATCTTGATGAATCATGTCAGAGATTTGCAGGATTTTCTCTACTATTTTCAAAGAACCATCTCGCAGGGTTGGTGATCTTCGCACATTTGGTTGCCTTTTCTGCTCTTTATTTTGTGTTTTCTATTTGTCTCCCTTCTCAGTTTCTTTTTTTCCCCCTTTCTTGTCTTTTCTTAAATGAATCAAGTTATATCACCTACACACAAACACACTCCTTCATTTTTCCCTTCTACAAATTGGAAAGTTTTCTGATGTTTCTGCTCTTTGGTGGACAGATTGATACCACAAGGATAAAGAAAGGTGAGGAATGAGGTAGATACCCCACCTTTCACCTGAGAATGTCTCTTGCAGTTTTCATTCCATCCCCGCTGCCTACCCTACGTCATATTCTTGCCGCCTCCTCCCTGACTATCGTAATGATGCCCGTAAGTGGCCCCTAATCTCTTCTTCCACTTTATCCCTCACATGGTCTCCAGTTATCTTTCCCAAAGCAGAGATATCATCAGGTTGCTTCCCTGCACACTAATCTCACTGGCTCTCCAGAGTCTGGCCAAAGTCCAGAGGCCGTGGCCAACACACTTGTCACTTTCTCCAGCTCCCCAAACTCTATAATATCCTTCATATTGGCCTCGTTGAAGTTTCCCGAACTCATCCTGTACTTCCCCGTTATGTTTGTTTCATCATACTGCCCCCTGGCCATCACCTCTCATGGCCCTTCCCCAGTCTCTACTTGTTCAAATCCTCCAGACCCTGTAAAAGCCAGATCAGGCCACTGCGTCTCTCCCCATTCTCCAGGGGGAATTGGTTCCCTTCAGCTGCATTACCGGCATTTCCAAATGCCACGGCCTGTGGCGTCGGTGGCGTCCGAGGACAGGTGGGGCAGCTGCCTCCCCCGCTAACGGCTCTTTTTCTCCCCTTCAGATCTATGCCCTCAACAGAGTCATGACGGAGCTGGAGCAGCGGCAGTTCGATGAGTTCTGTAAACAGATGCAGCCTCCTGCAGAGTGAGCCGCCCCATGTGCGAGCCGGGTGGGGCCCCGGGGGCCGGGTTTCTCAGCTGCGTCCCCGTTTCACTGAGATGGTCCACTTGGAACCTTACAGAACTAGACAAGAAGCTGTTTGCATTGTTCCTGGATAAATCTGAACTTCCGTACGTCCCTTCTGCTTCACTGGTTCCTTCAGTCTGAATTGGCCCAATGCTTGCTGAAGAGACTTGTTTTGTTCTTCTAAGACAATAGATTCTCTTTTTTTTAACCTTTTTCTATTGTTTGAGAAAAATCAGTGTTTCTCGTGAAACTGTAGCTCTTCTCCAAAAATATAAATAAAAAGCTAATAAAATGTTCGTTTGCTCAGACTTTAGCTCGGGGTACCTAGCCATAGAAAACGGAGTCAGAAAAAATGTAATAGGTAAGACAAGTTTGGGGTGAGCAGAGGGAACCCTTTCTCCTTCAGGAGGGAGTGGAAGGGAGGAGATAAGAGAAAGGATGTGAGCGTTTCCAGTTCTCATTCTTCCTGGGGCCAAAGCTCGGCAAACCCAGCAGCTCCTAAGTTTTTAGCCTCATGGGTATAAATATGTGAGCCTCGATTCCCCGATGAGCCAGTACTCAGGGCAGAGGCCTGCAGCTAGGATTCCTCTCATCTTGTGACAGATAGCCGCAGGCTGGTACCAGTGGGGAGACGCGTGCAGGTGCTTTTCGCTTTTCATTCCAGGAGCTACTTTATCAGGCCTAGAAGTTGGTTTGTGATAGGAATATCCAGACCGGTTCCTCAAGAACCATTCACCTACCCATCCATCCACCTGCCATCTTTAAGTATCAAAGTGTAAAATTTCTGCCTCAGACATTCGTATCAGGAATGGTGGGTCATACTTCAGCTTTCACGATAAAAGAGTTAATGCTGAGCAAAAGCAGAACTTGTTCTTTCAGGGTATTTCATTTCCAGACATTCCTGAGTAGGGAGAAGGGTGTCAGAAAGCAGAATATGTATGGAAATGAGGTAGACCTCTCAGGGCAAAGGAGCCAGACGCCACTACCCCCTTTACTCTCTACCCTAGAAATGCCCATGTTTTCCCCACTGGTGTTGGGATCATCTCAAGCCATCCCCATCTCCTCTTTGTCTCCCTGCTGCCTCAGAAGTCACTGAGAATTCTGTTCCCACTGCTGTAGCTTGTTTTAGGAGTAAACTGGGCCATAATGGGGTATGAGGAACTTGCTACCACTGTGGAGAATGTGTTCTTGAGAGCCTAAGTTATAGCTAAGGATACTCTCTACAAAGATTATCCCCATAAGTTGTAATTAGAGTCTATGGTGTCCTGCCAAATTTGGATTGGGGATTATTTGGTTTTGTTTTTTGGAGGCGTTGGGGTTTGGAGTGAGCTATTATAAACCTATAAGAATGCTGTAGTATACTACAAAGAGCACAGTTTTTGGACTCAAATGACCTGGGGTCAAGTAGCAATTCTACTACATTAGATAAGTTATTAGCCTCTGAGCCTCACTTTTTCCATCTGTGTGGTGGAATATTTTCTTCCTGTCAGGGTCATTTGTTGGAGTAATATATGAGATAATGTATGTAATAGATCCTCAGTAAATGTCACCTCCCTTCCCAACCACCTTGTTTCATGGGAAATGTTCCAAATTTCAAATAACCAAGTAATGCGTAAGCATCAGTTGGAAAGATTCTGATCCTTAGTTGAGAACTGCCTGTATTAACAAGTCTCAGCCCTAGATCTATTCCATCCTAGAGAAGTCCTCTAGGATTGCAGTTTTTCAAACTGCAGGTGGTTGTAAAATCAGTTTAATAAATTATGACGGGCTTTTTTTTTTAATGAAACAACAGATTAAAATTATCATGTGGTAAAGATATTATTTCATGAAGCTTTTGTTTCAGGTTTATGTATATTTATGAAAGAGTCTACTGCATTGGAGGTAAAAGTTCTCTATTCTATGGGTTGTGGCAAAAAAAAAAAAGTTTGAAATGTGAGGGATGTGTGAACAAGGCAGGACTGGGTCATCTTTTTATTCACAATTTAAAGCGAAAGAAGTTTCATCTGCCTCAGGAAGGGCTGCAGGAGCCTTTGCGTCCATAACTGGAATAGCATTCAATGCTAAGGCTCTTGCAAGCATAATCAGGGAAAACGAGGAGCACCTCCTTTCTGCTTCCCTACCTGGAATTCCCTAACCCTGATGTGATCTACTCCCGGTTTTTCAGAGGTAAGAGATATTTTTGGAGCTCTGCATCAAAAAATTCATGATGAGAACTGACTTTTGAAGTCAGGCTGCCTGGGTTTGACTCTTGGGTCCACCACTTTACACCACTTACATCACACACCACTAACGTATGAACACTGGGCAAGTTTTAACCTCCCTAAGTCAGTGAGTTTCAGACATTTTAGTCTCAGACTTCTTTATCCTCTAAAAATGGAGGACCCCAAAGAGCTTTTGTTTTTGTTATTTATGTTAACCTGTAGTAGGTTTTTACTGTTTTAAATAAATCAATATTTTCAAACAAATTTTTTGTGAAAAAAATTTTCTTTTTTTAAAAATTTTTTATTTAAATTCATTTAATTAACATAGAGTATATTATTAGTTTCAGAGGTAGAGGTCAGTGATTCATCAGTCTTGTATAACACCCAGTGCTCATTACATCATGTGCCCTCCTTAATGTCCATCACCCAGTAACCCCATCCCCCTACCCCTCTCCCCTCCAGCAACCCTGTTTGTTTCCTATGATTAAGAGTTTCTTATGGTTTGTCTCCCTCTCTGATTTTGTCTTCTTTTATTTTTCCCTCCCTTCCCTTATGATCTTGTTTTATTTCTTAAATTCCATATAAGTGAGATCATATGATAATTGTCTTTCTCTGATTGACTTATTTCGCTTAGCATAATACCCTCAAGTTCCATCTACGTCATTGCAAATAGTAAGATTTCAGTTTCTTGATGGCTGAGTAGTATTACATTGTATATATATATATATACCACAGCTTCTTTAGCCATTCATCTGTCGATGGACATCTCGGCTCTTTCCACAGTTTGGCCATTGTAGACATTGCTGCTATAAACTTTGGGGTACAGGTGCCCCTTCGGATCACTACATTTGTATCTTTGGAGTAAATACCCAGTAGTGCAATTGCTGGGTCATAGGGTAGCTCTATTTTCAACTTTTGGGGGAACCTCCATACTGTTTTCCAGAGTGGCTGCATCAGCTTGCATTCCCACCAACAGTGTAGGAGGGTTCCCCTTTTTCTGCATCCTTGCCAACATCCATTGTTTCCTGACTTGTTAATTTTAGCCATTCTGACCGGTGTGAGGAGGTATCTCATTGCAGTTTTGATCTGTATTTCCCTGATGCCGAGTAATGTGGAGTGTTTGTTCATGTGTCTGTTGGCCATTTGGATGTCTTCTTTGAAGAAATGTCCATTCATGTCTTCTGCCCATTTCTTGATTGGATTATTTGTTCTTTGAGTGTTGAGTTTGATAAGTTCTTTATAGAGTTTGGATACTAGCTCTTTATCTGATATGTCATTTGCAAATATCTTTTCCCATTCTGTCGATTGCCTTTTGGTTTTGTTGACTGTTTCCTTTGCTGTACAAAAGCTTTTTATCTGAAGTCCCAGTAGTTCATTTTTGCTTTTGTTTCCCTTGCCTTTGGAGATGTGTCTAGCAAGAAGTTGCTGCAGCTGAGATCACAGAAATTGCTGCCTGTGTTCTCCCCTAGCATTTTGATGGGTTCCTGTCTCACATTTAGGTCTTTCATCCATTTTGCGTGTATTTTTGTGTATGGTGTAAGAAAATGGTCCAGTTTCATTCTTCTGGATGTGGCTGTCCAGTTTTCCCAACACCATTTGTTGAAGAGACTGTCTTTTTTCCATTGGATATTCTTTCCTGCTTTGTCGAAGGTTAGTTGACCATAGAGTTGAGGGTCCATTTCTGGGTTCTCTGTTCTGTTCCATTGATCTAAGTGTCTGTTTTTGTGCCAGTACCATACTATCTTGATAATTACAGCTTTGTAAATATAGATTGAAGTCCGGAATTGTGATGCCACCAGCTTTGCTTTTCTTTTTCAACATTCCTTTGGCTATTCAGTGTCTTTTCTGGTTCCATATAAATTTTAGGATTATTTGTTCCAGCTCTGTGAAAAAAGTTGATAGTATTTTGATAGGGATTGCATTGGATGTATAGATTGCTCTAGGTAGCAGAGACATTTTAACAATATTTGTTCTTCCAATCCATGAGCATGGAATATTTTTCCATTTCTTTGTGTCTTCCTCAATTTCTTTCATGAGTATTCTATAGTTTTCTGAGTAAAAATCCTTTGCCTCTTTGGTCAGGTTTATTCCTAGGTATCTTATGGTTTTGGGTGTAATTGTAAATGGGATCAACTCCTTAATTTCTCTTTCTTCTGTCTCAGTGTTAGTGTATAGAAATGCAACTGATTTCTGTGCATTGATTTTATATTCTGCCATGTTGCTGAATTCCTGTATGAGTTCTAGCAATTTTGGGGAGGAGTCTTTGGGTTTTCCTCATAGAATATCATGTCATCTGCAAAGAGTGAGAGTTTGCAACTTGGATGCCTTTTATTTTTGTTGCCTGATTGCTGAGGTTAGGACTTCTAGTACTATGTTCAATGATGGTGAGAATGGACATCCCGGTCATGTTCCTGACCTTAGGGGAAAAGCTCTCAGTTTTTCCCCATTGAGAATGATATTTGCTGTGGGCTTTTTGTATGTGGTTTTTATGATATTGAGGTGTGTTCCCTCTATCCCTACACTATGAGGAGTTTTAATCAAGAAAGGATGCTTCTTTGTCAAATGCTTTTTCTGCATCTACTGAGAGGATCATATGGTTCTTGTCCTTTCTTCTATTAATGTGATGTATCATGTTGATTGATTTGTGGATGTTGAACCACCTTGCAGCCCAGGAATAAAATCCACTTGGTCATGGTGAATAATCCTTTTAATGTACTGTTGGATCCTATTGGCTAGTATCTTGGTGAGAATTTTTGCATCCATGTTCATCAGGGATATTGGTCTGTAATTCTCCTTTTTGGTAGGGTCTTTGTCTCATTTTGGGATCAAGGTAATGGTGGCCTCATGGAAAGAGTCTGAAAGTTTTCCTTCCATATCTGTTTTTTGAAACAGCTTCAGAAGAATAGATATTAATTCTTTAAATGTTTGGTACAATTCCCCTGGGAAGCCATCCAGTCCTGCACTCTTTTGTTGGGAGATTGTTTGATTACTGCATCAATTTCCTTGGTGGTTATGAGTCTGTTCAGGTTTTCTATTTCTTCCTGTTTCAGTTTCTAGGAATACATCCATTTCTTCCAGATTGCCTAAATTGTTGGCATATAATTGCTCATAATATGTTCTTATAATTGTTTGTATTTCTTCGGTGTTGGTTGTGATCCCTCCTCTTTCATTTATGATTTTATTTCTTTGGGTCCTTTCTCTTTTCTTTTTCATAAGTCTGGCCAGAGGTTTATCAATCTTACTAATTCTTTTAAAGAACCAGCTCCTAGTTTCATTGATCTGTTCTCCTGTTCTTTTGGTTTCTATTTCATTGATTTCTGCTCTAATCTTTATTAATTCTCTTCTCCTGCTGGGTTTAGGCTTTATTTGCTGTTCTTTCTCCAGCTCCTTTAGGTGTAGGGTTAGGTTCTGTATTTGAGAACTTTCTTGTTTTTTGAGAAAGGCTTGTATTGCTATATACTTTCCTCTTAGGATCGCCTTTGCTGCATCCCAAAGGTTTGAACAGTTATGTTTTCATTTTCATTTGTTTCCATGAATTTTTAAATTCTTCTTTAAATTCCTGGTTGACCCATTCATTCTTTAGTAGGATGCTCTTTAGCCTCCATGTATTTGAGTTCTTTCCAACATTTCTCTTGTGATTGAGTTCTAGTTTCAAAGCATTGTGGTCTGAAAATATGCAGGGAATGATCCCAATCTTTTGGTACCAGTTGAGACCTGATTTGTGACCCAGTATGTGATCTATTCTGGAGAATGTTCCATGTGCACTCAAGAAGAATGTGTGTTCTGTTGCTTTAGGATGGAATGCTCTGAATATATCTGTGAAGTCCATCTGGTCCAGTGTGTCATTCAAAGCCCTTGTTTCCTTGTTGATCTTCTGCTTAGATGATCTGTCCATTGCAGTGAGTGGGGTGTTAAAGTCCCCTACTATTATTGTATTATTATCAATGTGTTTCTTTTTATTAATACTTGGTTTATATAATTGGCTGCTCTCACATTAGGGGCATAAATATTTACAATTGTTAGATCTTCTTATCTTCCTGTTGGATAGACCCTTTAATTATGATATAGGGTCCTTCCTCATCTCTTATTTAGTCTTTGGTTTAAAATCTACTTTGGCTGATATAAGGATTGCTACCCCAACTTTCTTTTGATGTCCATTAGCATGATAAATGGTTTTCCACCCCTCACTTTCCTTTTTTTTTTTTTTAAGATTTTATTTATTTATTTGACAGAGAGAGACACAGCAAGAGAGGGAACACAAGCAGGGGGACTGGGAGAGGGAGAAGCAGGCTTCCTGTGGAGCAGGGAGACTGATGCAGGGCTCAATCCCAGGACCCTGGGACCATGACCTGAGCCGAAGGCAGACGCTTAACGACTGAGCCACCCAGGCGCCTCCCACGCCTCACTTTCAATCTGAGGTGTCTTTGGGTCTAAAATGAGTCTCTTGTAGACAGTGTATCGATGGTCTTGCTTTTTTATCCAATCTGATACCCTATGTCTTTTGATTGGGGCACTTAGCCCATTTACATTCAGAGAAACTATTGAAAGATATGAATTTAGTGCCACTGTATTACCTGTAAATCACTGTTTCTGTATATTGTCTCTGTTCCTTTCTGGTCTATGTTACACTTGGGCTCTCTCTTCACTTAAAGGATCCCCTTTAACATATCTTGCAGGACTGGTTTGGTGGTCACAGATTCTTTTAATTTCTGTTTGTCCTGCAAGCTTTTTATCTCTCCTTCTATTTTTAGTGACAGCCTTGCTGGATAAAGTATTCTTGGCTACATTTTTTTTTTTCATTTAGCACCCTGAATATATCATGCCTATCCTTTCCGGCCTGCCAGGTCTCTGGATATATCTGCCAGTCTAATGTTTCTACCCTTGTAGGTTACGGACCTCTTGTCCCGAGCTGCTTTCAGGATTTTCTCTTTGTCTCTGAGATTTGCAAGCTTCAGTATTATATGTCAAGATGTTGACCTATTTTTGTTGATTTTGAGGGGGGTTCTCTCTGCCTCCTGGACTTGAATGCCTGTTTCCTTCCCCAGATTAGGGAAGATCTCAGATATAATTTGCTCCAGTATACCTTCTGCCCCCCTCTCTCTTTTCTCTTCTTCTGGGATCCCAATTATTCTAATATTGTTTCGCTTTATGGTATCACTTATCTCTCGAATTCTCCCCTCATGATCCAATAGCTGTTTATATCTCTTTTTCTCAGCTTCTTTATTCTTCATCATTTGGTCTTCTATGTCACTAATTCTTTCTTCTGCCTCATTTATCCTAGCAGTTAGAGCCTCCATTTTTTATTGCATCCCATTAATAGCCTTTTTGATTCCGACTTGATTAGATGTTAGTTCTTTTATTTCTCCAGAAAAGCGTTCTCTAGTGTCTTCTATGCTTTTTTCAAGCCCAGCTAGTATCTTTATCATCGTTATTCTGAACTCTAGTTCTGACACCTTATTTATATCCATACTGATTATGTCCCTGGCAGTCAGTACTGCTTCTTATTCTTTTTTGAGGTGAGTTTTTCTGTCTTGTCATTCTTGCAGAAAGTGATTGCTTTTCTATTTGTAGAATTGCAGCAATTCTTTTCTTTAGATCACTTGTTGAGTTCACAGGTGTTTGATAGCTATCTAGCTGAATTCCTGGGACTAGACAAAACTAAGGTCTCCTACTCCTCTGCTATCTTGGAAAGTTTAAAAAAATAATTTTTCAAAATAAAGAATCTGGGATGCCTGGTGGCTTAGTTGGATAAGCATCCGAATCTTGATTTCAGCTCAGGTCATGATCTTGGGGTCCTGAAATCAAGTCCCACATAGGGTTCTGCACTGAGTATGGAACCTGCTTAAGATTCTCTCTCTCCCTTTCCCTCTGCCCCCCCCCCCAAATAAATAAATCTTAAAAAAAAATAAGAATCATTGAGAAGAGTAGCATTGTTTTACATTCTTGCAAATCTAACATCTAGCTTAAAGGAAAGTAGCTGGTTTCTTATACTTCTGCATTCTGTATTCTCATATTATTTTAGTTAAACTATATGAAGAAAATCCAGCCTCACGTTGATACGTGGTTGAAAAAGATGGGGGTATCTTAATGTTCATTTTAGATGTTCTTCTTTGCTACTATACCAAAATTTAGCAGGTAGTAGTTTCTTTCTTTCTTTTCTTTTTTTTTTTTAAGTTTTTATTTATTTATTTGACAGAGAAAGAGCACCTAAGCAGAGGGAGCGGCAGGCAGAGGCAGAGGGAGAAGCAGGCTCCCCGCTGAGCAGGAAGCCCGATGCGGGACTCGATCCCGGGACTCCAGGATCATGACCTGAGCCGAAGGCAGTCGCTTAACCAACTGAGCCACCCAGGCGCCCCAGCACATAGTAGTTTCTTAAAGGTTAGTTGCAACTTGAAATCTGATGCCATATTAATGAACTTTTTGTGCTCTGTTACATTAAAATCCACTGGTCTTTGACTCTTGCCCTTTGAATGGATCATTTATCTATGCATGATCTTGTAACATCATGTGCTGATCATTTAGAAAATACTGCTTCACTGAATTATGCAGATCTTCCGAATGTTTACACATTTTATTATACATTGTTAAAAATAAATTTTCATTAATATCCCCCCCGGTCTCATCAGAAAAGTCTTTGAGTATTGCAAAGCTGTCAAGCTCATGGTAGTAGATGTAAGTTTTCCAAAATTCACTGGGAGGCTCAAATTTTATTTTTGGTAACAAAAACTTTTTTCATGAGTGACAGTCTCGGTTCATATTTCGAGAAAACCAAGTCTGAACAACCCTAGTTTGTCAGTTATCCTTTGGTATTTCATAAGAAAAGCAGCTAATTCAGCTCAAACTCAAAACAGTACTTTTCCTTGAGACAACTGTCATAACTTCAGTATGCAGAAGTTCTTCATACATGCTTTCCACTGTTGCACAGAATATTGAAAAGACTCAAGGGTCAAGCAAGGCCTAATAAAATGGATAACTTTTACTGCTTTATCAAGGACAGTCATAAGTGAAACATTTTTTTGCTTTGTTTTGTTTACTGTAAGCAAATGACAGTGAAAAGTACATTTGACTACAGGGACCATTTGGTGCCACTGCCTAGATTCACACAGTGCCAGGAGCTTTACTCACCATTGCTTTGCACCATTAGCAAAATGTCAGCAGTGATTTTCAGTCCCTGTTTTAGGATTTTTTTTTTTAAGTTTTTTTTAAATGAAAGAGAGAGAGAGCGTGCACGCATGAGCAGGAGGAGGGGCAGAGGGAGAAGGAGAGAGAGAATCCTCAAGCAGAGTCCCTGCTGAGCATGGAGCCTGAAGTGGCCCGATCCCAGGACCCTGAGATCATGACCCGAGCTGAAATCAAAGTCGGATGCTTAACTTGTTTTAGGATTATTTAAAAAATAGTTTTAGGGCACCTGGGTGGCTCAGTTGGTTAAGCGTCTGCTTTCGGCTCAGGTCATGATCCCAGGGTCCTGGGATCGAGCCTCACATCGGGCTCCCTGCTCCGCGGGGAGTCTGCTTCTCCCTCTCCCACTTCCCCTGCTTGTGTTCCCTCTCTCGCTGTGTCTCTCTCTGTCAAATACATAAAAAAAATAAAAAATAAAAAATAAAAAATAAATAAAAAATAGTTTTAACCCTGAAAAGGTCTCAGGAACTCCAGGGGTCCGTAGACCACACTTCAAGAACTGTCGACCTTAAGCCTGTATTCACCTATGTCACTGGGTTGTATGAGGGATTAAGTGAAAGAGTAAAGTGCAAGAAACAATTCCTACACATAGAATAGACTAAATAAATGATAACTATTATTATTACTATTATTTTAAATGGCAAGGTATATAATGGGAAGGGAGGAAGTTTAGAGGAAGAGATCTTTTATTTAATACCTTTTACAGTCATTCCCTATTCTAGTTATTTTATGTGTCATCATATTTAATTCACAAAGCAACCCAGAGAGGAAGTAAATAACCCATTTTACAGTTAAGGAAGTGGGTTTAGAGAGATTAAACCTTTCACTCAAGTTCACAGAGCTAAAAAAAAAAAAAGTCAGAATTCTCAGTCACTTGACCCTGCTCACTGGGCACAGGTTAACTAAGAGGGGACTAGAAGGGAAATCTATACTCCATTAAGTTGAGAAGTAGCAGAACTGCCTTGAATCAAGAACTAAGCCCTCTGACTTCATGAACTCATCTGAGAAGTATATTTTTAGTCTCAGACTTGCAACTTGTTCCTGAGAGCTATTCTACATTAGAATATTATTTTATTTTAACATGTCCTATTTTAGCTATTCTATTTTTTAAGTTTTATTCCTAACTGAGGAAGTAAAGGCCTGCATCGTTAGAACTGGCATCCTGAGTTCCTGGAACAAGTGTGGAAGGGCAGCCTTACTTCCATGTATTGGGAAGGAAGCACATATCCCTCTGTTAAATCTAGAGGCTCTCAGCTGACCTATAACTATCATGCATCACTAACCCAAACTTTCGTCTGAGGCAATGAAGTATGAATTATTATTGTTACAGAGCACAATTTACATATCCGAATGGGTATTTTCCTTTTCAAAGCAGTCCTCTTAAGGGGTCCACATATTTCTTTTAACTCTGCTGCTGTGGCTCAAAAGTAGCGTGGAAGTCCTCTTTCGGAATTGCATCTTCCTCTTTGAATGTAGTTTCAGGTTTTAGAAGTAGCCAGAATCATTTGATGCCAAATCTGATAACTCATGTGGCTCAAAAGAGGACATCGTTGGCTAAATCTTCAGTAGTGGGTTCCTAGACTAGATCTGGTTGGTTCAGGATACAGTATTTTTTGAGCACCTACTATATCTAGGCACTGCGCTAAGTGCTGGCCTCTAAGAGCTTATGTGAACACAGTTCTCGAGCTGCATTTCCTAAATATTTTGATGAAGTGTAGCATCTCTGAAATGAGGGTATAGTACCAAAGGACAGCACATATTTGCATGTGTATGTAGGTATACATTTGTAAGATTCTTATTACATTATAGTAATCTTGTATATAACCCGCTAGAATGCACAGGGAAATCAATTCATCTACAAAGCAAACATTTTTGAGTACCAGGTGCTGTGGTAAGCAGCAGACATTTAAAAAAATGTAAACTGAAGGAGCCTAAAATCTGGTGGGACATAGACATATTCATCCACCCACGAAAAACATAAATGATATAACAGAGACATGGACAGAGAGCAGCAGGGACCAGGAGGACGCTATCCGTTCCTTTAAAGCCAGGTTGTAGCCATGTGATTCACTGGACTGTTATTTTTCAAAATCCAATTGTAGACTTAGTGCATATCTACCAAATACACTGTTCTGCAAACTTCAAGAAATTAGGTAAAAGGGCTCCGGCTCCACAGTTGAGGAAGGGGCCGAAGTAGCCACCAGTCCTTCGGTACACTGCCTAGAGATGGAAGGTGGTCCAGAGGCAGTGCTGGGCGTCGCTGCCTTCAGCCGGCCTCAATTCTTTGGGAGGGGCAGCTGGGAGGGTCCATACAATACTCTTTATTTTTACTCAATTTGGATTTTAGAATACGCAGTGGCATTTGAACATCTAGAGTTTAGTATTTTATCGTTTAGGAGAAAACCCGATGGAAGCCAGGGGATGCCCTCAAGCTGCCAGGGTGTCTAATCTCTTCACTGAAGCAAAAGGCAGAAGCTTGAACTGTTCAAGTACAGAATTTCAAGTTCCAAAATCCTACGTGCATTTACACTGGTCCATGTGATTGTCCTGTGATGAGCTCTACCAAGCAGAGCCTGCAAGTTGAAGAAACGCTTCAGTAAGCCCCACCTGCCACTGGAGCCTTAACCACCAGACCGGCCAAGCTGGAGACTAGACCAGTTCTACAGGCTTTCACTCCTTTCCAAGGGACTGACCTGAGTGCACAAGCGCCCCCAGCTGGTAACAGGGCTAGAACTCAGCCGGGCCCAACTGGAGCTTGGAAAACATTCTGTTCTATAGGATATAAACAGCTGTTGTCCCCAAGGGATCCCGAACCCTGAGCAAAGAGGAAGATGTGAAGGCCACTGGGCCTGCGGTGGGTTGCTCTGGTTCAAGGCCACACGTTATCTGGCACACAGGAGACGTGCGGACAAGGAAAGATTTAGTGAGGATAAAGCAAGGCTTGGCCCGACGTGCAGGCACGAACCCCAGAGGCCAGTGGCCGTGGGTAAAGCTGTTTAGTTTTCTCAGCACTGTAGCCTGAGACGCACTGCTTTGCCCCACAGAGCATCCGGAAAGAAGATGTAGGACAGCGACCACAACAGGCAGTAAAACGCAGTCAGAGAGAACGGAGACAAGAGCAGCATGATGGCACCTGGAAGAAAAAAGGCGAACACTCCGTTTTTATGAAGCCCTCCTTCGTGTATTTTCCATCCTCTTCTCTCCCATCCCCATCCTCCCATCCTTTGGTTTGTACTCGTGGTGCCGAAGAGACAAAAATCAATGAGACATGAGCCCTGCCCTTAAGGAAGTATTGTCTGTTTGTAACTAGATGATTATAATCGAACACAAGCTCAGGTTCCATTTTGTCGGATTCAGATCAGAAACCCAGTCTTAGCCGAGAATACATTTGAGTTGCCCAGGCCCCTTGTTATATATGATTGTGTCAAGTTTAACACGTGACAATGGCCAACACAATGTTACCCGTATGCAGAAGAACACAGCAGACCTGAGGCAGCTCTCCCTTGAAAGGCCTGCTTCTGCTTACCGGTTATTCCTGTCTGGAATCTGGGAACATGGCTAGTAACCAGTTCCCTATACCAGGATAGAACTTTCCCTCGTGGGCAAGAGTGGCTCACTGTGCTTAGATGGTGCTGAGATTGATTTCCTTCTGTGAAAATCTAGAATTTTGGTACTGCTAGGCCGAGGGTGCTGATGTGGCCAGCCCCCATGAAAACCTTGGGCACTGGGTCTCTACAGAGCTTCCAGCTAGATAAGACTTCATGAATGTTGTCACAATTTCATGCTGGGTGGCCCCAGAGGGGCCCAGATTTTGCCCCTTTCACCTTCCCTTTGCTGCTCTTGCCTTGTGTCCTCTTGCTGTGACAAATCTTAGCCATGAGTCTAACTATAGGCACCCTGTGAGTCCCTAGAGAATCAATGAACCTGGGGGTGGTCTTGGGGGACCCCCAACACATTTGAATCTCAGATTCACCACTGAAAGGCAGAAGGGCACCAACACTTGTGGGATATCTTCTTTGCATTAGACATCCTGCTAGGTATGTTACAAAGATTGTTCCATTTACATTTCAGAATAATGCTGTGATTCAGAATCAAGTCTGTTTTTCAGATGAGGAGACAGAGGGGATGTAACCTGCACGAGGTCTTGATTCAAACCCATGTCTGCTTTTGTAAAAAAAGTAGACACTTAGCCTCAGAGAGCTCAAAAAGAGGGTGGGAGAGTACAGGGCAACAGCAGGTCCATGGGGATAACCACCATGCATTCCTCAAGAGAAATCAGAACATTTGATCTGGCAGAAGACCACTTCTAAGGGCAAGAGGCAGTTACAGAAATGGATCGGAACTTTGGGATACTCAATATCTAAGAATGGTCATTGATCTGTTAAGGCAAGGAGACAATATTTTACTTGTCCTGGAAAATATGTGACATAAGGTCTCAGTAGCCACAGGCCAGCTTCTCAGAAGCTCTGTGGAGGAGATGGAACCTCAGTCTAAAAAGGGGATTGGGGCGCCCGGATGGCTCAGTGGGTGGAGCATGCAACTCTTGATCTCGGGGTTGTGAGTTCGAGTCCCACAGTGGATGTAGAGATGACTTAAAAATAAAATCTTAAAAAAAAATAAAATGGGGGCATCTGGGTGGCTCAGTCAGTTAAGGGTGCAACTGTTGATTTTGGCTCAGGTCATGATCTCAGGGTGGTGAGATCAAGCCCTGCACTGGGTTCCACACTGGGCGTGGAGCCTGGATAAGACCTCTCTCCCTCTCCCTCTGGTCCTCTCCCGCGTGCTCTTTCTCTCTCAAAAAACATTTAATAAATAAATAAGTAAAAAGGTGACTATCTGCACTCCAGGTAAGAGGAATATTAACAGTGGCCATTTTGAAATCTATCCAGTAGGGCTCTGGTATTAAATAGTGTCAAAATCTGTGAGGTGCAATTTCCTCCTTTACTCAGAGCCAAGACAATCCAAGGAAGGCTGAGGCCAAGCGTATGGTGTATTTTGAGGTGAGGGGATCAGTGGTATCTACAGGAGCAAAGAACATCATGGGAAACACTGTTGCTATGAGATAGGAGTGCAGGTGGAGCGAAGAAGGGGTCTAGAAGTTTCCATTTACAGGACACATCTGTGCCAGAGGATTGGTATACATTATCTCATTTAATCTCAAGAATCCTGAGGTAGGGATTAATGTCTTCATTTTGTAGATGAAGAAAACTGAGCTCAAAACAATGAGGTTATTAGCCCAAGTTCATGCAGTTAATACGGGCTGGCGGGTCTGTTTTCCTCCTTTGGTCAGTCTCCCGCCACCGAGTCAAAGTAGCCACTTAAAACTGCTGCTCAGAAATCCCTTCAGAGGCTTCCCATTTGCTGTTAGGATCAGCTCCCCAAAGCTGCCCATCTGGCAGCCTCGGCTTCTGTCCCTAGCGTCTCTCAGCAAGTTCCAGCCACACGGCTGCACGAATGATTCCAGCACCTTCTAGCTTAGAGCTGTCACGAAATACCATTTTCTCTTCTGAACTACCCCTCTCACCTACCTAGCCAGTCATCTTGCAGGTTGCTTTTTTTTCTTTTCCAGTTCCATAGAGATATCATGGACATATGACATTGTACTAGTCCAAGGTGTACAACATAAGGATTCGATATTCGTGTGACACCATCAGCAAGAAAGTCTAGTGAGCATCTGCCACCACACAGAGTTACATGTTTTCTTTTCTTGTGATAAGAACTTTTAAGCTCTCCTCTCCTAGCTACTTTCAAATATACGATATGGTATTGTTAACTGTGGTCACCATGCTGTCCCTTATGTCCCCAGGACTGACTTATAACTGGAAGTTTGTACCTTTTGACCACCTTCAGCCAGGTGAAGCAGCCTTTCCCCCCTTCAGGCCATTTCCGTCTAACTAGGTCCCCCTCCAACACCTTCTCAGAGCACCCTGTGCTTCCACAACACATCGCAACGATGCATTTCTAGTTATGTCTGTCATCATTTGGTTGGTGTCTGTCTCCCCTATCAGACTGTAAAGCCCGAGGTGGGAAGTGTTTGTCTAGTTTACCGATTTGGTTCTCAGCACCTGGCGTATGGCAGGTGTCCCCGATCGAACTTGACAACATTCAACAAACACTCACTGAGCAGCTACCCCGTGGTTGGCACAATCCTGGGTCCAGGGATTACTGCGTGCCTAACAGAGAGCTCTCTAGCCGGGGGCAGGTTTAGTGTGTGGAGACAATGAACAAGTAAAGGCATGCCAGATGATGGTAAACCCCATGCGGAAAGATAAAGCAGGGTGAGGCAGCTCGGGAAAGCTGGGGCGAGGTACGGGGCGGCAGGGAGCAGCAGGGATAATAAACAATCACTGGTGACATTTGCGGGCAGCCATTTTCACTCACCTCCCAGATAAACCAATTTTTTCCAGTTCTCAGACTCCAGGATTTCATCGTGTGGGTAGTAGCTCTGGTCCATCATGAATAGAATCATAAGTGAGGCCATGCAGGAGAGAATGAACGTGTTGCCTTTGGTCAGAAGGGAGGTGGAGGCTAAGACACAGGAAGCATAGCGGCAGGGTAGACCCCTGTACGTGAGCTGAGCGTCTGCTGGAGAAAGAAGAGCCAGGCATTAGCTGCTTCCCACGGCTCTAACGCTGTCTCCCCCGAAGCAAGCCCCTCTCGTTGGGTCTTCCCTTCCCCACGTTCCAAATCCCCCTCCTTGCAGGGCAGTGGCAGGCTGTAAAGCATGTAGTCATTCACAGAGAGGACTTGGCACCAGATCCCCACGGGGAAGCAGGCTGCCAGGACCAGGCGGGGACCCCGGCCCCGAGGACGGCTCTGTAGAAGGGTCTCCTGAGGTCGTCTGGTCTGCATCTGCCCTCCCTTGCACTGGGAACTTGGGCAAGGCAACTGCCTTCAACAGAGCTCCGTTTCTCCATCTGTTGTGGAAAACTGGAGGATGACCTCTGGTTCTAGATTCTGTGGGTCTCTGTGCACCCTCTAAAGGTCACACGATAAGAAAAAGGCACAGCTGCTCAGAGAACCCCGGGACCCTGCCCCCAACCAGGGCTCTGCTGGTGCAGCCTGCAGCCTTCAGTGGGCCTGGGACGCAGGAGAAGGAAGAGGGACTCCACAAAGGAGGGGGAGAGTCAGTCACTGCCCCCCTGGCTTCTGGCTCCCACTGGTTCCCCCTCCCTGGCTCCCGACGCTCAGCTACAAAGCTGGGGATCACTCACCAGTTGAATAGAAACACAGGCGGAAAGTAGCAGCTAACACATAGATGACAGCCAGGAACCCACTCAGAGGCCCATCCACGCCAAGGAGCAGGGCCGAGGCCAGGCCGAAGGTGGTGAAGATCGCAAAGTCATTCAGCTCCACTCCTGCTCCGGAAGGCCAAGGTTAGAACTTACACTCATTTGTCTCGCACCTTAGTCCGCTCTGGTGGGGGAGCTGCATGGTGCCAAGCAGGGTCTGAGGTCCCAGCGAGCCACAGCTGCTCGCCCGGGGGATCAAAGACAGGGGCTCCTCCTGGCTCTGCCTCATGCTGACCCTGCGGCCTTAGACAGGTCTTCCCCTCTCGGGTCTTACTTTCCCACCCTTTAGCTTCCAGGACTGGGACGACAACTGGATGCAAATTGACAAGCTAGGGAACCCTTTTTTCAAGCACAATCTTACACGAAAACAGTTCCTTGTATTTTGAACCAGCGGCTCGGCCACCACCACCTCAGCCACCACCCCACTCCTGATCCCTGGATCGGCCCCAGTGGGGAGGCCAGGGCAAGGACGGCTGAAGCTAACAAGTGAGCCAGCGGGGGGCTAGCTCTAGACTGTTGGGCTCCCGGACGGCTCTAGGGCTGCTTCTGCCATCCTTGGAGGGTTGTGAACAGGAGTGGTGACCGATGGAGGCCTGTTGGATGTTAGAGGGGGGAGGGGGGGTCTGAGATGGGGGCTCCTGGGGTCAGGGATCAGGGGTCTGAGGCCTGGACTCACCTGACTTGGAGCAGAGGCTGAGGTGTCTGGTTATTGCCCCAACTGCCATGTCTAACAGGAAGCTGATCAGAAGCATCCAGGAGGCACAGTGGCTTCTCCTAAAGTGTATGGCAGCGGGCCCAAATAGGACGGCTCCTTCATGGCCTCCACCGGCCAACCACTCCACATACCCCCAATACACCAACACACTTCCTACACTTGCACACGGGCACACACCCCTGCCCTGCATGTCCCCACACTCATGTTCTTTCTGAAATACACTGCTTTATACACCACACACACACACACACACACACACACACACACACACACACACACCCCTGCCATACTCTCAACCCACAGTCTTAAAGGGGTGCCTGGAGTGCCATAGATAATCAGTAAGGTCCCTTCCAGCGCTAAGTCCCAGGCATATCTGAGGGCACAGGAGTCCTCTGTTTTAGCCCAGCCTTTGCAACCATCTCACTGTGGATTCTCAGAGAAATCCCTCCCTGCATCTCTAGGCCTCTCTTCCTCCATCTGTAAAATGAGGGGTTTGTGCCAAATGACTTAATAGATATAGGCCTATCTAGATGATCTATTTCTCCTAGGGCAAGTTTTGGTAACTTATGACTTACAGAATTGGTCCATTTCATTTAGGCTATCAGATTTATAGAGTTGTTCATAATATTCCTTTCTCATACTTTTAATGTCCATGGGATCAGTAGTGATGGCTCCTCTTTCATTTCTGATATTGGTATTTTGTGTCTTCTCTTCTTTTTTTTACTTTTCTTGGTTAGCCCGACTAGAGGCTTGTCAGTTTAATTGGTGTTTCCGAAGAATCAGCTTTTGGTTTCATTGGTTTTCTCTACTGATTTTTTATTTTCAATTTCATTGATGGCTGCTCTCATTTTTATTATTTCTTCTCTTCTGCTTACTTTGGATTTAATTTGCATTTCCCCTCCTAGTTTGCTAAGGTAGAAATCTTACATTATTGATTTTGTATCTCCCTTCTTTTCAGTTTTTCTAAGACTTTTTTTTTTTGGAGAGATTTTAGGTTTACAACAAAATTGAAAGGAAGCTACAGAAATTTCCCATATGCCCCCTGCCCCCACATATGCATAGCCTCCCACATTGGCAACATCACTCACCAGAACAGTACATTTAGATTCTTCGTACATACAAAGGATGAAACTCCACTGACACATCATAGTCACCCGAAGTCCGTAGATTACCTTAGGCTTCACTCTTGGTGTTGTATATTCTATAGTTTTGGACAAATGTGTGATGACATGTATCCATCATTATAGTATCATGCAGAGCATTTCCACTGTCCTAAAAATCCTCTATGCTCTACCTATTCATTTCCCCCCACCCGCCCCTGTCAACCACTGGTCTTTTTATTGTCTTCAGAGTTTTGCCTTTCCAGCGTATCATATCATATTACTGTAATCATACAGTATGTAGCATTTTCAGATGGGCTTCTTTCACTTAGTAATATGCGCTAAAGATTCCTCCATGTCTTCTCATGGCTTGATAGCTCTTTTTTTTTTTTTTTTTTTTTTAGCACTAAGTAACACTGTTTGGAAATACCACAGTTTATTCATCTGTTCACTTACTAGAAGATATCTTGGTTGCTTGCAAGTTTTGGCAATTATAAATAAAACATCATAAACATCCAATTGCAGGTTTTTGTGTGGACATAGCTTTTAACTCATTTGGATAAATAGCAAACAGTGTGATTGCTGGATTATATGGTAAGAGTATGTTTAGTTTTGTAATGAACAGCCAAATTGTCTTCCAAAGTGGCTGCACCATGTTGTATTCCCACTGTTGCTCCACACCCTCGCCAGCATTTGGTGTTATCAGTATTCTGGACAACTGGTTTGGCTAATAAGTGTGTAGTGGTATCTCATTGTTATTTTAATTTGCATCTCCCTGATAACATATGGTGTGGAGCATCTTTTCACATGCTTATTTGCCATCTGTAGATCTTCTTTGGTGAGGTGTCTGTTAAGGTCCTTGGCCCATTTTTTAATTGTTTGTTTTCTTACTGATGAGTTTTTAAGGTTTGTCTATTTTATAGTACCTTATCAGATGTACCTTTTGCAAATACTTTCTCCCAGCTTACAGCTTGTCTTCTAATTCTCCTGACGTTGTCCTTCACAGAGCAGTTTTCTTTTCCAGTATATGCATTCAATGCTATACATTTCCCTCTAACTACTGCTTTTACCGCATCTCACAAATTTTGATAAGTTGTACTTTCATTTTCTTTTGGTTCAAAACACTTTTCTTCTTTAATTCATGTATTATTTAGAATTGTGTTGTTTAACCTCCACATATTTGGGGATTTTCTAGTTATCTTTCTGTTACTGATTTCTACTTTAATTCCATGTGGTCTAAGGGCATACTTCATATGATTTCTATTCTTTTAAATTTAAATTCAGTCTTATAGCCTGAATGAGCAAAGAGAAGAATGTGTATTCTGCTGTTACTGGATAAAATATTCTATAAACGTCAATTAGATCCAGTTGATTGATGGTGCAGTTCAGTTCAACTATCTCCTTCCTGATTTTCTGCCATTCGGATCTGTCAATTTCTGATAGAGGGGTGTTGAAATATCCAACTATGATAGTGGATTTATCAAGTTCTCCTTGCGGTTCTATCCATTTTCATCTCACATATTCTGATGCTCTAAATGATTTCTAAGATCTCTTGCAGACCCTACATTTGAGGATTCTGCATTGCAGTCCAACACATGCTCCCAGACTGCTCTGAAAGCAGCCACCGCAGTCTCAGGCAAGGCTGCCCCAGCCTGCCATTCCTGAGTCTACACCTTGGTTGCAGTGTTTGGATGGCCAAGCAGAAGCAGAGAGCCTGACCCCAGACTTCAGCTGTCTCTAAACCACCTCAGCACTACCTTCCTTTAGATCCATACCTATGTGTCTACAGGGAACTGGGTTCACCATTGTGCCATAAAAATTACACTCCCAGAAGATTAGACTGAACTAAAAAGATATTTTCTGTTGCAGGTGTGATCTACTGTATAAGACTCCACAAATCCAGACTTAGAGAATCATAAAATTTTCAAACTGGAAGGGAACTCAAACATCACCAGGTAAGATTATCTTAAATTATGGATGAGAAACTGATCCAGAGAAGTCACATGCTGATGGTTATAGAGAATAAAACAGTTAGGAGGAGGATACCTACATTATAAAGGATTTCTCTTTAAAGAATTGATTTGCCAAGGCATCGAAATATGATTCAATTATAGAAGTATAATTTGCTTACAATATATAATTTGCTTTGCTTTTTAGGGGCCCATATACATGTCTCAGATTTTCCACAATAGTGCTAATTGTAAATATTCCCCACATCATATGTTCTAATTTAAGAATAAAAAATTTTAGGGGTGCCTGGGTGGCTCAGTCGTTAAGCTTCTGCCTTCGGCTCAGGTCATGATCCCAGTGTCCTGGGATCGAGCCCCACATCGGGCTCCCTGTTCAGCGGGAAGCCTGCTTCTCCCTCTCCCACTTCCCCTGCTTGTGTTCCCTCTCTCGCTGTGTCTCTCTCTGTCAAATAAATAAAATATTAAAAAAAGGGCGCCTGGGTGGCTCAGTTGGTTAAGCGACTGCCTTCAGCTCAGATCATGATCCTGGAGTCCCGGGATCGAGTCCCGCATCGGGCTCCCTGCTCAGCAGGGGGTCTGCTTCTCCCTCTGCCCTCTGCCCTCTTGTGCTCTCTGTCTCTCATTCTCTCTCTTTCAAATAAATAAATAAAATCTTTTTAAAAAAATTTAAGAAATAAAATAAAATAAAATATTAAAAAAAAAAAGAATAAAAAATTTTGAATGGTAGCCTGCCTACCATTAAGTAGGCAGGATTAAGTGAGGGCCACCAGAACAGAATCTCTTCATTTTTCTCATAAAAACCATTCTAGACTGCCATAGCTGGAAGGAACTATGGAGATCACGGTGCAAGCTCCTTGTTTTAGAGATGGGGAAACCAAGGCTCAGGGATATGACCTAGCCAAAGTCACATGTCAGGTTGGTGGTAGAACTGAGGCTAAGATCTTGGCCCCTTGACTCCCAACCCACTACACCTTCTCCTGCCCCTGGTTGATCCTGTGCCTCAGTGCCTGGCTCGCTAGGCTCCCCGCTCCTTCCCTCATGCCACTGACTCCAGCTCTTGGCTAGGAGCTTGCTGGGCCCCAGACCTACTTGCAGAAGCTGCAGAAGATGGAGAAGAGCCCCAGGATCAGGTTGGCCAGGGACAAGGCATTGGTAACGTCCTTCCAGGAAAATTCGTTCATCTGGGGACAGCTCTGGTTGTTGGTCAGGAAGAAACTGGTGCAATGATCTGGGGCTCAGGGGAGAGGGGTAAGGGTTCCCAACGTCAAAGAGTCCCAAAAGAGGCTCCCAGGGACCAGGCAGTTCCTGTTCGCCGGACCTCATCCCAGGACTGCACCCTCCCAACACTGTTTCACTGTCTGGAATAAGAGAGACAGGAGGCAGATGGAGGAGACCAGGAGGCAAAGACAAAGGTGCTGAGGATGAGCATCTTGGGGAAGCACAACAGCAAAGCAAGTGAGGCCGCACAACCAATTGACTGTACCCCTTGCCATAGTGCGGGCCTCCCTCCAGCCCATGTGGTGACTCTTCTGGTACCCCCATGGCCCAGGGGACAAGGGGTATGGACCCTTCCCCCATCGGAGAGATGAGCCTTTTGTCATAGGTAAGCCCTTGTTAAAACAATTACGAAGTTACAGGGCGCCTGGGTGGCTCAGTCATTAAGCGTCTGCCTTCAGCTCAGGTCATGATCTCAGGGTCCTGGGATCGAGCCCTGCATTGGGCTCCCTGCTCAGTGGAAAGCCTGCTTCTCCCTCTCCCGCTCCCCCTGCTTGTGTTCCTGCTCTCGCTGTGTCTCTCTCTGTCAAATAAATAAATAATCTTTAAAAAAAAAAAGAAAAGGAGAAAAAAAAAATTCTTTGGGGCACCTGGGTGGTTCAGTCATTAAGCGTCTGCCTTCAGCTCAGGTCATGATCCCAGGGTCCTGGGATCGAGTCCCACATCGGGCTCCCTGCTCGGCGGGAAGCCTGCTTCTCCCTCTCCCACTCCCCCTGCTTGTGTTCCCTCTCTCGCTGTGTCTCTCTCTGTCAAATAAATAAATAAAATCTTTAAAAAAAAAAAAAAACAATTACAAAGTTACTTTCAATACTTTTTTATTCCCGTGAGGTGAGCCCCAGAGGAATAAAAAAGAACCCTGGGAAGGGGTAACCCCCCACCCCCCAGGAATAGCCCAGGGGGTGAGAGGCTCCCTGAGGGGTAGAAAGCACAGAAGAGACCGCCATGGAGTCAGCCTCCTTTGTTCCGCAAGCCATACTCACTCCCTCAGGACAGGGCTGCCGCTGGAGTGCCCCAAGGTCCTGCTTCTGACGGGCCCCAACCAGAACAGCAGGCCCAGCTCCCACAGGGGAAGAGGTGAGACACAAGAAATGAACATGGACAGCACGGAATAGTTCACAAGCACCTTCCACTATGTTCTCGCTCCTGATCCTGACGACCTCAGAAGATGGTGCTATCATGATTTTATGAATGAGAAAACTGAGGTTCAGAGAACTGGGACATTGGCTCAAAGTGACGTGCTAGGTGAGTAGAAGGTAATCCCGCTGCCAGGTTCTCAATCTGGTGCTTCCTTGGCTGGGGGCCCAGCTCTGGGCAGGAGGAGGTTTGTGGGGTAGGAGACCGAGGAGGAGCTCAGTTGGCCAGCCCTGCAGGGCAGCATCAGCCTCCCCCTCTGGTAGCAGCCCTGCCCGGGGGCTCCTCACGCCTCCCAGCCCCTCAGGGCTATGGGCAATGGGTTGGCCCAGCCCGTTTTCACAGCCTGGCGGGCTCTGCTCTTCCTCTAAGACCAAACATGCACTCCGTACAATAGACTGCTTGTGACATGAAGTCTCTTTTGGAGGAAGAGCCCCAGGGCTTTCTGGAACAGGGAAGCCCCGCTGGTTGCTGCAAGCTGCTACCCACAAACAGTAATCCTGCCCCTGAATGAAATACACAAGTTCCAAGGTATTTTCATGGCCACTTCCTCATTTAATCCTCATTTGAGAGGGGAGGAAGCTGAGCCTCTTCCTCCTCTCAGCCAGTGTCTAGCCCCAGGCCCCTCTGGTCTGGGCCAGAGTTAAGACAAATTATGGTCCTTTCCCATAAACCCGTCCACCAAGATATCAGAGGCTGGGAGGGGCTGGGCTTGGAGTTTGGAACTGGGCAGGGTTCATGGGGCTCACTCCTCCCCCAGGCCAGTCTCATTCACCAAGGCCATCAGGACTCCTGAGACCCTCTCAGACGTCAGGGCCCCTCCAAACCTAAGACAAGAAGAATGCTGGCTGAGAAATCGGAGAGGGGAGGGGAGCCAAGGGCTGGCTGCCTACTTCCTCCCCAGGAGTCCCCCCTCCCAGGCTCTCCTGGGCCTCAAGGCTCACTCCAGCAAGACCAAACACCTCTGTGCCCAGCCCAGCCCACCCCTGCCTGGAGGGCAGCACGCCAGCATCTCTGCCCCTCAGAGGTAGTCAGCACATACCTGGGGCATTTCTACCAATCACCAGACACACCTCATCTGCACTACTTCAGTTATTTTTTAAATTAACGATCAATTATCTACTATATCATCCCTTTCATTCAGGAAGCACTTTCACATCTGTGGTTTCCATTGGCCCCGTGAGGTCGGCCAGATGAGGGTCACTACCCCTACTCGCAGGGTAAGGCAAAGAAGACGCAGAGAGGGGAAGAGCCTTGCTCAAAATCACACCAGAAGTGGCAGATCAGGACTTACAACGTCACCTTAAATGTTCTTTCCCCTTACTCTGCACTCTGCTGTCTACCAACCAACAGGCCTGAGCACTGTATTCTCCCTAAGCTCAGACTAAGCTAGGTGCTGGGGAAAACCTTCATGGAATGTCCAGTCTACCCAAGGAAACAACACTCATGCATGTGGAGATTCCCGGACTCTTCATCTTACAGGTGAGGAAACTGAGTTTTCAAGATAGTCAAGCGACTTGTCCCAGTGAATGATGGAGCCAGGATTTGAATTGGGCCTCCTCTTTCCCAATTAAATGACATTGTCAGCATACAGCACGGGTCCCGGGTGTGAAAGAATGTGGACCTCAGAGTAAGGGCTCTAGAAATCCAGAGAAAAAAGGAGCAATCCATTCATTCAGCAAACATTTGGTCACGAGCAAGATTCACCGCCTGGTGCTTGGCACACGGAGAAGATTAAGACCTGGTCTCATGTCTCAAGGAGCTCAGTAGAGCAGAGGTATTCAACTGTTCACAGAAAAGGGGAGGTGACCAGGCTGCCAGGGGAACATAGAAGAAGGGTCCAGCCTGACAGGGGGCTTAGAGAAGGCTTCTCGGGTGAGGGGGTCCGAGGCGAGGCGTTGCTGGGCAGTGGCCTGCAGGACTAGATCATGTCACTACCCCATTTTGTGCAAGCTGTCCATGGCTTCCCAGGCACCCAGGATGGAGTCCATCTCCTTCCTTTGGTGTACCAGCCCTTACGATGAAGCTGGCTCTCCCTCTGCTCTCAGGGAAGCCTGACCGCCCCCACCCCAGCCAGGCGCCCCTCTACACTGCCGCATCTCCGTGTGCTCACCATGTGACACCGGGCACTCTGCATTGGCACGGCCTATCCTGTCTTCCTCCTCTACTACAGGGGAAGCAACTTGAGCGCAGGCTGTGGTCCCCTGTGCCCAGCACGAGGCCTGACAATAGAAGTTGTTCGATGATTGTTAAGTTAGTAGAGGATGTCACTCTGGGGCTTCCCCAAGATCCTCTCACTGCACCAAGTCACATCTCTCCCCTGCCAGAGCCTGTTCAGTCCGTCCTCCAAGAAGCCTTCTCAGATGAACTGTCAACAATCCAGACCCTCAGCACACCCAGCATCTACCCAACGCTTAGGATCTTCCATTTACTCATTTTTAAATGCATGTGTTGATGCCTGCTCCGCGCCGGGACTGCGTTCTGGGGGCAGAGAGAACAAGAGCTAGGCTGCATCCTCAAGAGGCAAGGAGTCTGGCAGGGGAGGCGGATCCGGGTAGGGAAATGCAGGCAGTGTGGCAAAAGTCACGCTGCACAGGGGCTGGTCGCAAACTAGAGCGGGCATGCGCTCCTGGGACACCCGGCGCAGCCACGGCAGTTAGAGATGCCCCCACGCCCAGCCCTGCGCCACTCCCGCCACAGACAGCCCCACCCCACCCCACCCCCGCCGGCGTCCCGGCCCCGCGGGGCTTCCGCACCAGCCCTGACACCGCCCCGCGCCCAGAGATGGAAGAGAGGGAGCCAGGCTGGCCTCCAGGACCGCTCCACCGCCTCCCGCGGGGCGGGGGGGCTGGTCGCTGACAGCACTCTGGGGAGGGAAGCACTCTGGGGAGGGGCATGCGCTGCCTCGGATGCCTACCTGGGGACCAGACATTCCTGGGTGGGGTGAGGGCAGCGCTCTTAACCCGCTTCCTGTGCGGTGGAGCAGGCCAGCCGGGGCCTGGGGGAGCAGCACGGGTCCCAAGCCTCTCACCCCTGGCTCTTAGCTCACAATCCCTGAGAGGTAGGGGAGGGGCTGTGGGGGGAGCTCTAGTTGGCAGAAAGGGGGACTTCAATTTACAAAGGAGCCTAGGCCACCCTGGGGGCGCCTTGGGGAATGGAGGGGTCTGGGAGGAGGGGACTGGTCTCTCTCCATCGTGGCCGGCAAGGGAAGGCTGGGGGCGGGGGGTTAAGAGACCACAGTGCAGGGCGTGTGGGAGGTGGGCTGCGAGGGCTTTGGGGAAGATGGGGCTGTAAAGGATGGCTGGGGTCCAGACTGTGAAGGGCCCCCAGGTCAGGGCTTTTGCTGTTTGGTTCACTGCTGTATCTTTGCACCTATAAGAACTGCTTAGGCATATGGTAAGTCCCCCCCATCCCACCCCAGTATTTGTCGGGTGAATGACAAAGCGAGTAATTTACACTCAGTCCTGAAAATAGTTTAAAGCAGAGAAGTGACATGGTCAGTTTGGTTTAGAAAGACGATTCTGGCAGCTAGTGTGGAAGAAGGCTCTGTAATACTGCAGGAGAAATGAGGCAGGCCGGAGCAGGGACATATTGCTGGACGGCAACAGAAGGGAATGGGAGGAAGGAGCCAGACTAGGAGCCATTGTGAAAAGCATCCCAAGGGTGTGGGAGAGAAATGAGAGGGAGAAGGTAAGAAGAGCCTCTCTGAGGGTCTCAATGTGGCAGCCGGATGAATAGTGTGCTACAGAAAGAAAGAAGCTTGTTAGTATTGGGTAGGTTCCCAGACACAAGTTCTGATACCTGCCCCACATCCTCCCACCTGCCCTAATGCCGAGTTAGAGCGGCAGTGGCTTCCAGGACCCCACAGGAGAATATGCAAGAGAAGGGGTGGAGTTGGGTGGTCAGGTGACACTTTGCTTCTGTTAGGAACCAGTAGGGGAAAGAGGAGCGAGCCCTGAGTGGCAACTAGCCACTTGCGCTGTGCTCGGTGCTTTACGGACATCATCATCATCATCTTACTGGACGTTCTCAAATGCCCTCGACATTAGTATTAGCATTCCTATTCTCCAGAAGAGGAAATGGAGGATTTGTTGATTTTCATAATTGATGGAGCTGAGACCTAAACACAGTCCAACACTAAAGTCAGACCTAAGGTGTCTGAGAAACTAAAAGAGAAAACGAGGTTGCAGGCAACAAGTCCAGGAGTCAGGTCAGCTTCCTTCTATCCTTTGTCTTTACCTTAATTTGTCCATACCACATGGACCATTCATGGCAGATTAAAAACTACGGCATACTAATTCTACTGCTGGCTTTAACTCTTGACCAGACTCATGCTGGAGCTCTAACACTACCAGATGTGGAAATCTGAACGGGTTACTTTGCTTTCCTGAACCTATTTCCTAATCTGTAAAATGGGATTGTTGAGTGAACTAAACGATGTGCTCAGCACAGAGTAGAAGCTCAATCATTATCATCATTATTATTATTCTAAGGACACGATCATGCCTCTGTTAGCCTGGACATCCCCAAGGATTCCTTCTGAAGAGGGAGAGGAAGCAGGGGTAGCTACAAAAGACACGTGTCCCCATCCGTCAGAAGTTTCCAGCTTCCTCCTATTCTGGATCTCACAAGGAAGTAGAGAACAAGAACAGTACAGTTAGACTGTCTACGCTTGTGCTAATACGGTAGCCACTAGCCACGCATGGCCCTGAAGCACCTGGAGTGTGGCTAGTCTGAACTGAGATGTGCTGTAGGTGCAAAGTGAACACCAGAGTTTGAATACTTAGTTCAAATATACATATAAAATAACATGTATGTTATTATTAAGCTAGTGAGCCAGCAGCATAGGAGTGGTATGTGATCCCTGGGGATGGATTAGATCACCTAGCAGAGAGAAAGAAAAGAAGGCTAAGGGATAGGCCCCAGAGCAATCCAAAAGCCAGGTGTCAGGAGACAGAAAAGGTGTAGTCAGCAAAGTAGGAAAAAAAGCAAGAGATGCTAATATCCCACATCAAAATGAAGAAAAAAGCTTTCAAGTAAAGGGTGGTCCATGGAATCAAAAGCTTCTTTAGTTGTTTAGTATTATCTGCTGAAATGTTAACATTTAGGATATACCGGGTGAGATAAAATGTATTATTAAGTTCACCTGTTTGTATTTTTTAAGGTAGCTACTAAAAATTTCCAAGTCATACGTGTGGCTCACACGATATTTCCATTAATGCCACTGACTTAGATCCCTTCCAGGATATAAGTACATAGACATAGATGTCCATCCATTCATACATTCTTAGAGTATTTATTATGCGCCAGGCACTGGTTCAGGTGCTAGGAATAGAGCAGGAGACAAGACGGACACTGTTTCTGTCCTCGCAGAACTTACACTCAAGTGTGGGGGAAAGGCAACAAATAAGGTCTGCTCGTGAAAAGGGTGATGGAAAACAAAGCAGGATGAGCCGTCACTTGGATGTGAGAGGAGTTGGGATTTCTGACAGGGTTGTCAGTGAAGTGATATGCGAGCAGCGACCTAAAGGATGAGAAGCCACAAACCAGGCAACGATCTTGGGGGCAGTGTTCTAGGCAGGAACAGCAAATGGAGAGCCTCCGAAGCAGAAATGAGCTTGATTTGTTAAACAGACAAGGTCATCGGGAACAGGGCGAGTACAGAGAACGGTGGATCACATAGAACCTTGGCAAGAGGCTTGGATTCTATTATAAGTGTAATGAGAAATTCTTGGGTCATTTTTATGGAGCGGGGTTATGACCCGAATTCTCTTTGTGAAGGACAATGCTCCCAGTCTCTGTGGGGCTAGACTGAAGCAGGGTGAGAACGGGGGCAGGGAGGTGAGCTGGGAGGCCGCTGCACTAGTCCAGGCCAGAGACAGCGGTGGTCTGGCCCGAGGGGTCAGGGTGGAGGCGGTGAGAAGCTGTCAGATTTGGGATATATTTTGAAGACAGCTGAGAAGACTTGCTGACTGGTGTGGGAAGAACAAGCAGAATCGAGGATGACTTCGACTTCTGGCCTCAAAAAACAGAGGGAGCTAGGTGTTGATGGCAGTACAAGGGCTGGTGATGAAACACGTCTGGGGCAGAATTCAAGGCTTCGGTTTGGACACGTTAGGGTTGTAATGACGTCAAGTGAGGCTGTTGATAAACAAGCCTGCATGAAGCTGGGGAGAGATCAGGCCTGGAGGCAAGCTAGTGAGCCAGCAGCATAGGAGTGGTATGTGATCCCTGGGGATGGATTAGATCACCTAGCAGAGAGAAAGAAAAGAAGGCTAAGGGATAGGCCCCAGAGCAATCCAAAAGCCAGGTGTCAGGAGACAGAAAAGGTGTAGTCAGCAAAGTAGGAAAAAAAGCAAGAGATGCTAATATCCCACATCAAAACGAAGAAAAAAACTTTCAAGTAAAGGGTGGTCCATGGAATCAAAAGCTTCTTTAGAAATAATTACTCCAGGCACTTAGTGGCTCCTTCCTCCCAAGCTGCGGCTCCTTATGGGGATGAACCCTATCTTGTGCATGAGGGTTTTTCACAGGCTTTAGTGCCGGAAACACGGGCTCCACTGCTTAGGAGTTGTGACCTTAGGTAAGTTACTTATCTTCTCTGGGCCTTGATATACATCCCCTCCATGCTCATCACTACACACCCAAGTGAACGACTCCAATAGCATCCCATAAGCACATCTACCTCTGTCACTTTTAACTTCCTTACACCTCTATGTTGGGATCCCCTAGGACTGGTTATGGTTAGACTTGAATCAAACAGGACTGTTTGATCTATATAACCATGGGCCTGTTGCTTAATTTTTGGGTTCCTGCTTTCTAAAACAGAGATACTGTTGGTGCCTGGGTGGCTCAGTCGGTTAAGCATCTGTCTCTGGCTCAGGTCGTGATCCCAGGGTCCTGGGATCGAGCCCCATGTCAGGCTCCCTGCTCTGTTGGGAGTCCACTTCTTCCTCTCCTTCTACCCTTAGCCCTGGCTTGTGCTTGTTCTCTCGCTCTCGCTCTCGTGCTCTAATAAATAAATAAAATCTTTTAAAAAAATAAAACAGAGATACTATATACCTCATAGATGGTTATGTGAAAATTAAATCAGATAATGGATATGCTTGGCAGAATAAATGCTCACTAAGCACTATTTATCATCTTTGTATCTACACCACCAATACTCTCAATGCCTGTGGACTGACAGATAACTTGAGAAGGTAAGGACACAGCAGACCCTCCTTCCAGACAGCTAGCATGGAGAAAGGGAGGTGCGCTCAGCTGCTACTCACACCCAATGAACCTGGACAGGGCTGGCATGGTGGGCTAATAAAGAAAATATAGATTGCTTATCCTTCTGGGAATACCAGGGACGTCTCCCCCTTTCATATTTTGCTGAGTGGATCCCCACCATCCGTATCAGCATTCAAGCCAGAAATCCAAGCATTATCTGAGAGTCTGTCTTCTCACTCAACCCTTGCCATCTTATTAGTTAACAAGATGCACTCTATTGTAGCTTCAAAATGCCATACTTCATCAGATCCAAGATACCAACCGTTATAAGACACGTAAGACACACCATTATGTTATATAGTTCTAAGAAAGGAAAAAATGCTGCCACTTAAACTGTGACGTGCCACTCACTTTTAGAAGCATCCCAGTTCCAGAGATATTAAAATGTGGGGGAAGAAGAGTACGTCTTACAATTGATGAGGTTGTACCTCTCATTCCATCACTGCTACCTTAGCTCAGACCTCATCATCGCTTGCCTAGACTAGGGATGGAAGCTCCTACTTGATCATCTTCCCTCCACTTGTCCTCTGATGCCAAAAGAGGTTTATACAAGGCCAATATTACCAACTCCCACCCCAAATCTTTCAATTACGTCTTCTCCCATAGCCCCTGGCCCACATTCTTCACTTTAAATTGGCTGCAATTCCCCAGATGTTATATTGCTTCTAGTCTGGAATCGCTTTTCCTCCCATTCTTCATCTGCTTACCTCCTAGCTATTAGAAGTAAGAGTTCTTTAGCCAGGGCATACCTCACTCCAGCCCTCCTGCCTGCTGGGACTGGTTTGGTTAATACAGCTTGTTAAATGGATATCCCTTTCTTCACTCACAAATAAATTCCATCCAAAAATGAACCCTACTCCAAACTCCAAAGACAATTTTCCTATAGAGGACAGTTGGAGTCTCCAAACAAGCTCTAACTCTTGTTTCTTTTTCAACACCTACGTGGGTGTCTGATCTTCCAAGAAGTCTTCCCAAATTCTCCAGTCTGAGTTAGGTAGCCTTCCATGGTGCTCCATACCCCATGCATACCACTATCATAGCCTTTTTTATACCACATTGTAATTGTTGACTTGGTTTCTCCCCCACTAGACTGACAGCTCCCTGGACACAGGTGCCTTTTTACTCAGCTGTGTTATTCTCCAGAACCTGGAACCTAGAAGGCACTTAATACTTATAAAATGGTTGAATGGGTAGATGGATGGGTGAATGGAAAATGGTTACTGTCTATAACCAGTGGGTCCTAGTTCCCCACTCTGAGATGCTACCTCCAAAATCACCGCATTGCCACAGACTTTCCCCAAGCTTCGTAATTGGCTGAGGCCGAAAAGAGCAATGGCACCACCTGGTGGGCAGTGCGGGAAGCGCACCTTATTGAACAGCAGGAGCTTTTTTTTGAACCGTTCTTTTTTTTTTTTTTGCTCCGGTGGTTAGGAAATGCCAAGTGAGGGGGATTTGTATTTTAAAAAGATCAAGCTGGGGTGCCGGGTGGCTCAGTTGGTTGGGCGACTGCCTTCAGCTCAGTTTGTGATCCCGGGGTCCTGGGATCGAGCCCCGCCTGGGGCTCCCTGCTCAGGGCGGAGCCTGCTTCTCCCTCTCCCTCTGCCTGCCACTCGCCCTGCTTGTGCTCTGTCAAATGAATAAATAAAATCTTTAAAAAAATAAAAGAAGAATAAAATAAAAAGCTCCAGCTGATGACTGTATGCAGAATGGGTTGGAGAAGGGATCCAGGAGGAAGCGGGGATGCCAGCTGGGGAGGTTATTTTGTCAGAGCTGAGAGTCGAGTCCCGATCTGTGACTCGAACACTACCATGCTTACCCGCGTGGTAATACTGCCTCTTTTACCCAGGACCTTCTTTTCTCCCTCTCAACTGAGCACCGTGGCAGGGATTCCAAGATCTGCTCCATGATTTCTGCCTTCTGGTATTCGTGCCCTTGTGTAATTCCCTCCTTCGAGTGTAGGCTTGCCTCTGACTTGCTTCTGACAGAACACAGCAAAAGGAGATGTCACTCCGGTGAGGAAGACTACACAAGACTGGAACTTCCGCCCTCCCAGCGGACTCGTCCTTGTTGGCTTTCATCAAATTGCCATGTCGGGGAGACCAATGTAGCAAGGAACTGAAGTCAGTTTTTGGTGAATAGTCTGTTAGTAACAGAATCAACAACCTCAGTCCAACACCCTTGAGGAACTGAAATTCTGCCAACAACTTAAGTGAGCTTGGAAACAGATCCTTCTCCAGCCTTCAGATGAGAACCCAGCCCTGGCAAATCATTGGATTGGGGCCTGTAAAAACCTTGAAGCAGAGGGCCCAGGGAAGCGTGCCTCAACTCCTGACCCAGAGAAACTATGAAATCACAAACGTGCATTGTTTTAAACCACCACATTTCTGGTCATGCATGCAGCCACAGACGACTAATAAGCACCTGCTCAAAATGTGTCACAAGCATGCAGGTCAGAAGCTTGTGAAAACCTTGGAAACTTTGTGGTCGGAATCAACTACTGTACCACTAATGTGTGTGTGGGTGTGCGTATGTGTATCCCCAAGGCCAACCCCGCCAGAGGCTTTTGCAGCTGACTCCACAGAGCATCCCCCTGTGAAATGAGTGACCAAGTATCCCCTGGGTGACCCCGTCAGATTCTAGCCCCGTCCTGTGCTGGAACTGCACTACCTGCTAACTAGCCTCAACCCAATCTTTTTTTTTTTTTTAGTTTCAAGTTTTTATTTAACTTCTAGTTAACATATAGTGCAATATTGGTTTCAGGAGTAGAATTTAGTGATTCATCACTTATGTGCAACACAGTGCTCATCACAACAGGTGCACTCCTTAATCCCCATCCCCCATCTAGCCCATCCCCCCTACCTCCCTCCAGCAACCCGCAGTTTGTTCTCTACAGTTAAGAGTCTCTCTTATGGTTTGCCTATTTTCTCCCCTCTATGTTCAACCTCAACCCAATCTCAAACACTTCCAGGTACAAAAAGACCAAAAACAGTCCTCCCTGGAATATGCCTCGCCAACCTTTATGTGGGAAAAAGAAACTCTTCTTTAATTCTCTGCCTTGTGGGAGAACAGATGGAGATAAAGGAGAAGGAAAGTACACTGGCCAATACTCTGAAAGTCACTGGCTGTGTACCTGTGACCCAGAGAGGATCCCAAGGGACTGACAGGATTCATTACTATCCTAACTAAAAGTAATAACAACAGCATTTATATTCACACAGGGTCTCTTTTCTCTCTCTTTTTTTAAAGATTTTATTTGAGAGAGAGGAGAGGTGAGAGGGTGAGAGTGCGTGCGCGTGAGCGTGCATGAGTGGGGGGTGGGGCGGTGGGAGAAGCAGGCTCTCTGCTGAGCAGGGAGCCCAACATGGGGCTCCACCCCAGGACCCCAGGATCATGACCTAAGCCAAAGGCAGACACTTAACTGTTTAACCAATTGAGCCACCCAGGCACCCCACACAGGGTCTTTATTCAAGAAGTTCATGATTCATCCACAATACCTCAATTCTCGTGCCACCTCCCATCAAGGCAGAGAATGAGGGCAACAAAGAGGTGACAGGTCCTTGCTGTGAGAGCTATTATGAGTGTCCACTCTCAGTCAGTCCCTGGAAGGTGGGTTCAGTGCTTGGAAGCAGGGCCGCAGGCTGGCTTAGCAACTTGTTCACTATGTGGATTTGGGCATCGTGCTTCTCAATGTCCTCATATGGAGTCCAGGACAAGTCATGCTGTAGCTTGTAGGCACCAAGGAAGTCATGTGGACAACCTGTCCCCCATTCCTAGAGAAGGCAAAGAAATCAATTCTCATCAGGGTAGGAGGTAAAAACATTGGGTTCATTTCCTTGCCACAAATTTCTTCCCTTTCCTTTTTAAAAAAATTTTTATTGTTATGTTAATCACCATACATTACATCATTAGTTTTTGATGTAGTGTTCCATGATTCATTGTTTGCGTATAGCACCCAGTGCTCCATGCAGAACGTGCCCTCTTTAATACCCATCACCAGGCTAACCCATCCTCCCACCCCGCTCCCCTCTAGAACCCTGTTTGTTTTTCAGAGTCCATCGTTTCTCATGGTTTGTCTCCCCCTCCGATTTCCCCCCCTTCATTCTTCCTCTCCTGTTTTTTTTTTTAAACATATATTGTATTATTTGTTTCAGAGGTATAGATCTGTGATTCAACAGTCTTGCACGATTCACAGCACTCACCATAGCACATACCCTCCCCAACGTCTATCTCCCAGCCACCCCATCCCTCCCACCCCACCACTCCAGCAACCCTCAGTTTGTTTCCTGAGATTAAGAATTCCTCATATCAGTGAGGTCATATGATACATGTCTTTCTCTGATTGACTTATTTCGCTAAGCATAACGAATTTTCCCAACACCATTTGTTCCATCCACGTCGTTGTAAATGGCAAGATCTCATTCCTTTTGATGGCTGCATAATATTCCATTGTATATATACACCACATCTTCTTTATCCATTCATCTGTTGATGGACATCTTGGCTCTTTCCACAGTTTGGCTATTGTGGACATTGCTGCTATAAACATTGGGGTGCACGTACTCCTTCGGATCCCTACATTTGTATCTTTGGGGAAAATACCCAATAGTGTGATACCTGGGTTGTATGGTAGCTCTATTTTCAACTTTTTGAGGAATCTCCATACTGTTTTCCAGAGTGGCTGCACCAGCTTGCATTCCCACCAACAGTGTAGGAGGATTCCCCTTTCTCCACATCCCCATCAACATCTGTCATTTCCTGACTTGTTAATTTTAGCCCATTCTGACTGGTGTGAGGAAATATCTCATTGAGGTTTTGATTTGGATTTCCCTGATGCCAAGTGATGTTGAGCACTTTTTCATGTGTCTGTTGGCCATTTGGATGTCTTCTTTGCAAAAATGTCTGTTCATGTCTTCTGCCCATTTCTTGATTGGATCATTTGTTCTTTGGGTGTTGAGTTTAAGAAGTTCTTTATAGATTTTGGATACTAGCCCTTTATCTGATATGTCATTTGCAAATATCTTCTCCCATTCTGTCGGTTATCTTTCGGTTTTGTTGACTGTTTCCTTTGCTGTGCAAAAGCTTTTTATCTTGAAGTCCCAATAGTTCATTTTTGCCCTTGCTTCCCTTGCCTTTGGCGATGTTTCTAGGAAGAAGTTCCTGCGGCTGAGATCGAAGAGGTTGCTGCCTGTGTTCTCCTTTAGGATTTTGATGGACTCCTGTCTCACATTTAGGTCTTTCAAGCATTTTGAGTCTATTTTTGTGTGTGATATAAGGAAATGGTCCAGTTTCATTCTTCTGCATGTAACTGTCCAATTATCCCAACACCATTTGTTGAAGAGGCTGTCTTTTTTCCATTGGACATTCTTTCCTGCTTTGTCAAAGATGAGTTGACCATAGAGTTGAGGGTCTATTTCTGGGCTCTCTACTCTGTTCCATTGATCTATGTGTCTGTTTTTGTTCCAGTACCATACTGTCTTGATGATGACAGCTTTGTAATAGAGCTGGAAGTCCAGAATTGTGATGCCGCCAGCTTTGCTTTTCTTTTTCAACATTCGGGGTCTTTTCTGGTTCCATACAAATTTTAGGATTATTTGTTCCATTTCTTTGAAAAAAGTTGATGGTATTTTGATGGGGATTGCACTGAATGTGTAGATTGCTCTAGGTAGCATTGACATCTTCACAATATTTGTTCTTCCAATCCATGAGCATGGAACGTTTTTCCATTTCTTTGTGTCTTCCTCAATTTCATAAGTATTTTATAGTTTTCTGAGTACAGATTCTTTGCCTCTTTGGTTAGATTTATTCCTAGGTATCTTATGGTTTTGGGTGCAATTGTAAATGGGATTGACTCCTTAATTTCTCTTTCTTCTGTCTTGTTGTTGGTGTATAGAAATGCCACTGATTTCTGTGCATTGATTTTATATCCTGCCACTTGACTGAATTCCTGTATGAGTTCTAGCAGTTTAGGGATGGAGTCTTTTGGGTTTTCTACATAAAGTATCATCATCTGCAAAGAGTGAGAGTTTGATTTCTTTGCTGATTTGGATGCCTTTTATTTCTTTTTGTTGTCTGACTGCTGTGGCTAGGACTTCTAATACTATGTTGAATAGCAGTAGTGATAGTGGACATCCCTGCTGCGTTCCTGACCTCAGGGGGAAAGCTCTCAGTTTTTCCCCACTGAGAATGATATTCGCTGTGGGTTTTTCATAGATGGCTTTTATGATATTGAGGTATGTACCCTCTATGCCTATACTCTGAAGAGTTTTGATCAAGAAAGGATGCTGTACTTTGTCAAATGCCTTTTCTGCATCTATTGAGAGGATCATATGATTCTTGTTCTTTCTTTTGTTAATGTACTGTATCATATTGATTGATTTGTGGATGTTGAACCAACCTTGCAGCCCAGGGATAAATCCCACTTGGTCGTGGTGAATAATCCTTTTAATATACTGTTGGATCCTATTGTCTAGTATTTTGGTGAGAATTTTTGCATCCATGTTCATCAAGGATATTGGTCTGTAATTCTCCTTTTTGATGGGGTCTTTGTCTGGTTTGGGGGTCAAGGTAATGGTGGCCTCATAAAACGAGTTTGGAAGTTTTCCTTCCATTTCTATTTTTTGGAACAGTTTCAGAAGAATAGGTATTAATTCTTCTCAAAATGTTTGGTAGAATTCCCCTGGGAAGCCATCTGGCCATGGGCTTTTGTTTGTTGGGAGATTTTTGATGACTGCTTCAATTTCCTTAGTGGTTATAGGTCTGTTCAGGTTTTCTATTTCTTCCTGGTTCAGTTTTGGTAGTTGATACATCTCTAGGAATGCATCCATTTCTTCCAGGTTATCTAATTTGCTGGCATAGAGTTGCTCATAATATGTTCTTATAATTGTTTGTATTTCTTTGGTGTTAGTTGTGATCGCTCCTCTTTCAGTCATAATTTTGTTGATCTGGGTCATTTCTCTTCTTTTTGATAAGTCTGGCCAGGGGTTTATCAATCTTGTTAATTCTTTCAAAGAACCAGCTCCTCATTTCATTGATTTGTTCTACTGTTCTTTTGGTTTCTATTTCATTGATTTCTGCTCTGATCTTTATTATTTCTCTTCTCCTGCTGGGTTAGGCTTTATTTGCTGTTCTTTCTCCAGCTCCTTTAGGTATAGGGTTAGGTTGTGTGTTTGAGACCTTTCTTGTTTTTTGAGAAAGCTTGTATTGCTATATACTTTCCACTTAGGACCGCCTTTGCTGTATCCCAAAGATTTTGAATAGTTGTGTTTTCATTTTCATTTGTTTCCATGAATTTTTTAAATTCTTCTTTAATTTCCTGGTTGACCCATTCATTCTTTAGTAGGATGCTCTTTAGCCTCCATGTATTTGAGTTCTTTCCGACTTTCCTCTTGTGATTGAGTTCTAGTTTCAAAGCATTGTGGTCTGAAAATAGGCAGGGAATGATCCCAATCTTTTGGTACCGGTTGAGACCTGATTTGTGACCTAGGATGTGATCTATTCTGGAGAATGTTCCATGGGCACTAGATAAGAATGTGTATTCTGTTGCTTTGGGATGGAATGTTCTGAATATATCTGTGAAGTCCACTTGGTCCAGTGTGTCATTTAAAGTCTTTATTTCCTTGTTGATCTTTTGCTTAAATGGTCTGTCCATTTCAGTGAGGGGGGTGTTAAAGTCCCCCATTATTATTGTATTGTTGTCGATATGTTTCTTTGCTTTTGTTGTTAACTGGCTTATATAATTGGCTGCTCCCATGTTAGGGGCATAGATATTTAGTTGTTAGATCTTCTTGTTGGATAGACCCTTTAAGTAGGATATCGTGTCCCTCCTCATCTCTTATTACAGTCTTTGGTTTAAAATCTAATTTGTCTGATATAAGGATTGCCACCCCAGCTTTCTTTTGGTGTCCATTAGCATGGTAAATGGTTTTCCACCCCCTCACTTTCAATGTGGGGGTGTCTTTGGGTCTCAAACGAGTGTCTTGCAGATAGCACATCAATGGGTCTTGTTTTTTAATCCAATCTGATAACCTGTGTCTTTTGATTGGGGCATTTAGCCCATTTACATTCAGGGTAATTATTGAAAGATATGAATTTAGTGCCATTGTATTGCCTGTAAGGTGACTGTTACTGTATATTGTCTGTGTTCCTTTCTGGTCTATGTTGCATTTAGGCTCTCTCTTTGCTTAGAGGACCCCTTTCAATATTTCTCATAGGGCTGGTTTCGTGTTTGCAAATTCCTTTAGTTTTTGTTTGTCCTGGAAGCTTTTTATCTCTCCTTCAATTTTCAATGACAGCCTAGCTGGATATAGTATTCTTGGCTGCATATTTTTCTCATTTAGTGCTCTGAACATATCCTGCCAGTCCTTTCTGGCCTGCCAAGTCTCTGTAGATAGGTCTGTTGCCAATCTAATGTTTCTACCATTGTAGGTTTCATATCTCTTCTCCCGAGCTGCTTTCAGGATTTTCTCTTTGTCTCTGAGACTCATAAGTTTTACTATTAGATGTCGGGATGTTGACCTATTTTTATTGATTTTGAGAGGGGTTCTCTGTGCCTCCTGGATTTTGATGCCTGTTTTCTTCCCCAAATTAGGGAAGTTCTCTGCTATAATTTGCTCCAATATACCTTCTGCCCCTCTCTTTCTTCTTCTTCTGGGATCCCAATTATTTGAATGTTGTTTCATCTTATGGTATCGCTTATCTCTTGAATTCTGCCCTCGTGATCCAGTAGTTGTTTATCTCCAGTAGAGAAAGTAGAAGCTTTCTCTCAGCTTCTTTATTTTCCATTATTTGGTCTTCTATATCACTAATTCTCTCTTCTGCCTCATTTATCCTAGCAGTTAGCGCCCCCATTTTTTATTGTACCTCATTAATAGCCTTTTTGATTTCGACTTGGTTAGATTTTAGTTCTTTTATTTCTCCAGAAAGGGTTTCTTTAATAACTTCCATGCTTTTTTCAAGCCCAGCTAGTATCTTTAAAATCATCATTCTGAACTCTACTTCCAACATCGTATTAATGTCCGTATTGAGTAGGTCCATGGCAGTCGGTACTGCCTCTTGTTCTTTTTGTTGAGGTGATTTTTTCCATCTTGTCATTTTGGCCAGAGGAGACTAGATGAATGAGAGAACAAAATGCTAACAGGGTAACAACGTCCCCAGAAAATATACTCTAAACAAATCAGAAAAGACCTGAAACCGGGGGAAAAGAAAGGGAAAGAAAAAAGAAAAAGAAAACAAGAAAAAAAGAAAAAAGAAAAAGATAAAAACAAAAAAAAACAGAATATGATCAAATATGATCAGGCTGGTACATAGATCAGTGCCACACACTAGATTTTGGGTGTATTTTGGTCTGTTAGAAGAAAGTACCCCCCAAAATTTTAAAGAAAGAAAAACTTATATATGTACAAAAATAAGGGTTAATACAATGAAGGGATGGAATATGACTGTAAAAATGAAAATTATAAAAAATTTTATAAAAGGAATTGATAAGAAGTTTTTTGAAAAAAGAAAGAAGAGGATTTAAAAAAAGGAAAAAAAGGGAGAGAATATTATCAGGCAGGAGACTAGAACAAAGCCATACACTAGAGATTTAGGGTATATTTTGATCTGTTAAAAGAAACTGTATCTCAAAATTTTAAAGAGAGAACAACTTATATATATATGCCAAAAATAAGGGTAACTACTATGAAGGGATAGAATATGACTCTAAAAATGAAAAATAAAAATGTTTTGTAAAAAAGGGATTGATAAGATGTTGGTTGAAAAAGGGAAAAAGAAAAATTTTTAAAAAAAAGTTAAAAAAAAATTAACTTTGAAAGACTAATCATGGTAAAAAAGCCATGGGTTCTATGTGCATTATTCCCCTAGCGCTGGAGTTCTGCCATTCTCATTTATCGGTAAACTTGGTCTTGGCTGGCTGTTCTTGCTGATCTTCTGGGGGAGGGGCCTGTTGCCGGGGTTCCCAAATGTCTTTGCTGGAAGCGGAATTGCCCTGCCCTTGCCGGTCGGGGCTAAGTAATCTGCTCAGGTTTACTCTCAGGAGCTTTTGTTCCCTGCAAGCTGTCCATACAGCTTTGGAGGCTGAGAGTGAAAATGGCGGCCTCCCAATCTCTGCCCCGGAGGAGCCAAGAACTCGGGGCCCCGCTCGCCAGTGAGCCCCCAGAGAAAAGCAGTCAGTCACTCCCGTCTCCCCGGTCTCCAGCCACACTCCGTGCTTACCTGGCCTGTGACCGAGTGTTTCTATCTCTGGCACCTGACCCCGTGTGGAGTCTCCAAACCCAGCAGATCCCTGTGGTGCGCTCCCTCGCCTCTCCTCCCGGGGGAGGAAGGGGAGTCTCCCTGGATCTGCCACTTGTTGGGTCCCCGCTGGAGGAGCAGTGGCCCGACTGTGCCGTGGATCACGGTTTATGGCAACCCTGAGCTGAGAGCCTGCGCCTGGGCTCCGTCTCTGCAGCCGGCTTCCCCGCTCCGATACCTGGGAGCTCTGCCACACTCAGGTACCCCCGGTCTTTCTGTGACCCTGAGGGTCCTGAGACCACACTGTCCCGCAAGGGTTCTACCCCCAGCTTAGCCACTGGAGTGACGTCCCTCAGCGGAGCAGACTTCTAAATGTTCTGATTTTGTGCTCCGGGGCTCTATCATTTGCCAGAAGCAGCCAACGGAGGCCCCCTCCCCCGCCGTCTGTCTTCCCAAATATCGCCTCAGATTCACTTCTCCGCACGTCCTGCCTTCCAGAAAGTGGTCGCTTTTCAGTCCAGAGAGTTGTTGCTATTCTTTTCTTCGATCTCCTATTGAGTTTGTTGGTGTTCAGAATGGTTTGATCCCTATCCAGCTGAATTCCTGAGACCAGACGAAATCCAGGTCTCTTACTCCTCTGCCATCTTGCTCCGCCCCCCCATGCCACGAATTTCTTTTTTGGTTTTTCACATCAGACCAGTGAGAATCATCCTCATTGCATCACACATCAGATACCTCTCTTAACAGAGATAATGACTGTGAAATAATTTAAGTGTATTTTTCATGTATATTTTTTAAGAGTCATGCCTGGGCTCACAACACCTCCCAATTTTTTAGAAAACATTTACCAACCCTATGCCTACATTTTCTCAAAGACCAGAGTAGATTTTTGTGCAAAAATAAATGCTTTTTTTTAACTCTTGAAAAATTCATTTTATTTCTGCTTATTAGAAAATTAATGGTCATTACTGGTTGGCCTGGATATATTTTGCTTCAAAAGTATATGCCATGCAGTTATAAACATTATTTCATCTATTTGGCTGGAAAACATGAGATTTTTATATAACTTTCAATATCACAATCGAAAAATTTTGAAATTATTTTATAAATACGTAGACCCATATGGCATATGGTCCTTTTGGATATTTTTCTATATATTCTAATCACAGGTAGCAAGATGAAGCTTTTTTTTTTTTTTTTTTACAAACAGAAACATCACCAGTTAGCAAGATGAAGCTATTATTTTATTTACAAACAGAAATAATGCCTGATATTTTCCAAAGTTGAGAATATATATATTGTCAAGTAAAAATGTACTTTATTTTGTCCAAATTTAAAAGAATCTTATTATCAGTTGTTCCAAAATCTTTACTATTAAAAAAAAAAAAAAACAAAACACAGAGGGTTTTTTTTTTTTTCATAGACAGGAAGAAAAGAAACATACCATGCCCTCAATTTGATGTATCATGTTCATTTGAAAAAAATAATAGCTGGATTCTTCAGTAAAAAAATTAAATAGTATTCAAACCCAACTTATTTTATTAATTGTCTTAAATACTGTCTTACTATCTAGTAGAACATTTTTGAAATATAAAATATCACTGGGGACTTGTTGATGTTTCAACAGTGACAAATTCCTCATAATGGTATATTAATATTGTGATAAACAAAAGCTAATCGTAGCCATTTCTTTTTCTTTTTCTTTTTTTAAAGATTTTATTTATTTATTTGACAGAGAGAGACACAGCGAGAGAGGGAACACAAGCAGGGGGAGTGGGAGAGGGAGAAGCAGGCTTCCTGCCGAGCAGGGATCATGACCTGAGCTGAAGGCAGATGCTTAACGACTGAGCCACCCAGGTGCCCCTAATCATAGCCATTTCTACCAGTAAAAAATAAATGTTCTTACCTTTGGAGAAATAATAGAAAAATACTGCTGACCACTCCCCCGTTTATAAAGGTAGTAAATGTTGCCAGGTTTTTTTACTATATTACAAGCTATGTGGTGCAAGTCAGCGTCTCTGTGAGCATCTTCCAATACCTAAGAACCACAGAGATGTAACAAGTTAAGTATCGGATGTAACAGGCACTCACACTCAGTGATTAATCCAGTCAAAATCTGGAAATTACTCAATGCTTTGGAATTGCTCCCCCATAGCAATGAGTCACTACTAGGATCCAGATGATTCTGAAGAGACAAAAGACTGCTACTAAGCTGTAAAAATGCCTTTAAAAGAATTATATTTCAAAACGTCGAACACTACTGGCTGTGAATGGCTTTTAAATTTCTTTCCTATTTTTCTGTAGTAAGTACATTTCTTTTATAAATGAGAACCTATTTTCCCCCTCAAAATGCTTTACCTCACTGAAACTGTCTCCCAGTGAAAAGCTTATCTTATACGTAACCTCCTAAGCCTATTTTCTTTCACGCAACACTTCGATATTTCTAGAAGGTACTGAAGACAAATAAGTTAAATGATTATAAGCAAGATCAGTCAATCCTGCGAATTAAATGAAGAAAATGAATGCCTGCGTAAAAGCTGTTACTTACCTTCCTGGCTTGTTCTTGTAAATGTTGGATTTGCTCAGCTATGACCATCAGTTTGTTGGTGGCATTTGCTCGGATGAATTCATCAGCCTAAAGGTGAGACAAAACCAAAGGGCGGGTGAAAAAAGGATAAGACTTCCACAATGTTATTTAGAGCCCAGCGTGAAGAGTTATCTCGACATCTTCGCTTATGCCTAAAATATTCTTCCTGTCCTTCCTCACCACTCCCCCATGAGCTCCCATTCCTCTCCCTCTTCTCCCACCCAGCCCAAACAGCACTGCTTATGAGAAGCCTCCCCTGACATGGCCCCACACCACAGAACTAGGTCCTCCTTCTTTTCTATGTCCCATAGCTTTCTACCCTTTTCACTCCATATTCTAGTCACACTGAATTTCTTCAGTCCTCCAACATGCCCTACTCTCACATGCTACCAATATACTGAATACATCCTCTTCTTGATATAACATGTTCTCCCCCTTACTCTTTGCCTGAGTAAACCCACTCATTCCTTAGGCCTCCATTTATTTTCTCATGTTTAAATATTTCTGAAATCAGGAGTGGGTCTTACAATAAAAATCCAAAGACACTTGTGATATGGCTCTTATCACCCGTTATGTAGGAATCTAGCTATATACAGAAACTACCTATTAATCTGACCATTACCTTGGCTGAGTTATTTACTTCAAACCTAGTTATATTTTAACTTATATTTGTATTCCTAATTGTTACTTCAAATGTATTTTTAAAGACAGCACTAGGATGTAGACCTGAAACAAAGTTATAATGTACACAGAAGACTGCTTGTCTTCTGTGCTAGGAAATGCAACTGAAGGCAATGGGAATTGCTTAAAATAAATAATTTTCACAGCCAGAGAGAATGGTGGTGTGACCAATTCAGGCACTGGGAAGGATTATCACTTAGGCATCAGAAATCTGTCAAAGACTTCCAGTTTACTTTCAAGAAAAGCTGATTAATGTCCGGTGGTATACAATTAAGTTAAGGAGAAGAAATTAGGAGGTTAAACTCGAACTAAGAAATATCAAGAGAATTTGCCAGTTAGTTAAGGGCGCTCAAGGTAAAAGTCAGGTATAAGGCAGTATCATGTAAAAACATAAATAACTGAGTAAACAGGGTCAATCATTTATCTGTTCCACAAATATAGACTGGGCAACCACTGTGTGTCAGACACCATGCCAGGCCCTGGGGTGCACTGGCAAATCAGAGAAAGAGGTCCCTACTTCTGTCAAGATTACAGCCTAATACACTGGCCTTATGAATAATATGAATCAAGTAACATATGCAATTTTTAATTTTCTAGCAGTTGTGTTAAAAGTAAAAATAAGTAGGGGTGCCTGGGTGGCTCAGTTGTTAAGTATCTGCCTTCGGCCCAGGTCATGATCCCAGGGTCCTGGGATTGAGCCCCGCATCGGGCTCCCTGCTCTGCGGGAAGCCTGCTTCTCCCTCTCCCACTCCCCCTGCTTGTGTTCCTGCTCTGGCTATCTCTCTGTCAAATAAATAAGTAAAATCTTTAAAATAAATAAATAAGTAAGTAAAATGAATTCTAATAATCTATTTTATTTAACCCAATATATCAAAAAACATCATTCCAACACGTAATCAGTATAAAACAAGTTTAATGAGATATTTTATATTTCATATTGTTATTTTTTATACTCCCATACTATCAATTGGGATGCCAAATTTTGATTAGAAATCCTCAATCTGTATTTGGACTTCATAAAATTTACATTTGAAAGAGTCAGTTCACATACTCAGCTTGTCCAAATATACTTAAAAGTGTCCAATAATTGACTCGATTATCAGGTTTTAAAATGTAAATTAGTTAAAATTACATAAAATTTAAAATTCAGTATCTCAGCTGCACTACTAACCATACATTCCAAGTGTTCAACAACCCTGTGTGACTGGAGGCTACCATAACGAACAGCACAGCTCTGGTGATTAATACAGACACCAACAAGAAAGACAATTAGAGCTAGTATTATACGGACTCAGAATAATGATGCGCTACTATGAAGGAAATAACAGTAATTATGTGGTAGAAGGAGATCAAAGGTAACAAGTGAGTGAAGTAACTGGTTCAAAAACAGGGAGTGATGAGGACTGCAGGGATTGGAATATATAGAGGCAAATTCAATTTAATAATAGTGTCATTTATGTTTATTTTTTTTAGAAGTTTGGACTTGATCTTTATTCTTTTTAAAAGATTTTATTTATTTATTTGACAGAGAGAATGAGATAGAGAGAGTGAGCATGAGAGGGGGGAGGGTCAGAGGGAGAAGCAGACTCCCCGCCGAGCAGGGAGCCCGATGCAGGACTCGATCCCGGGACTCCAGGATCATGACCTGAGCCAAAGGCAGCTGCTTAACCAACTGAGCCACCCAGGTGCCCCAATACTGTCATTTAGATGGGGTGGGGTAGAGCCTTCTACAGACAAGGCCTCACCAAGGACGTGACATTTGACTTGGGTCTGAACAAAAGGAAAGGGCCAGCCAGGTACAAAACTGAAGATGTGTCTGAAGAGTAGTAAGTGAGGAGAATGTAAAAAAAGGGGGCAGGGATCAGATCACACAAGGCCTTACGGCCCATGGGTGAAAGCGCTACTTTTTGTTCCAAGGACAATGAGACACCTTATGGCCAAGGAGAGAGTAGCTGGTTTCTAGAGCTAAGATGGTTCTAGGTTAACAGTGGAGTGGCCTCATTATTAGTCTTTTTCTTAAGGTGGTAGCAACAAATCTCTTCCTTGTAAACAAAAGGACCGAATTCAAACAGAAATGAGGAGAAAAGTACTTATAATTACTAAACACAAACTCTGGCCCCCATCACTCTGAAGCCCTTCACATATATATATTATCTCATTTAGTTTTATAACACCTTATGAAGTTGGAGATAACAACTTCAGCCTCATTTTAGGAATTATACTCTCAGAGAGGTGAAGCAACCTGTCCATGGGTTCACAGCTAATAAATGGCAGTTGAAGATTTGAACACAGATCATTCTGATTCCAAATTTACTGCCTTAATACCAGACCTCTTGAGTTTTCTGAACACACACTAATACAGAAATGGCATATCAGCTAATCAGTCCTGCTAGAAAGTACATTTCAGGACACAGACAGTAAATATGCTTGATTCAATCTGTTTGTCTCTTGTGTTTTTATTTCAGCTGCTCAATATCGATAATATTGGAAAAATGGAGGCAGCACAATAATGCACCCTCTATATTTCACTAGATTATATGCTGAAGGGCAAAAACAGTGTTCCATCTTTGTTTTGGGCTACTGTAATAAACATGATGGTCACTCAGTAACCCATGAAAATGTTTGCCTAAGCTTTGGGCCTGGTTGCCTCCCCCAGTTAAGTGATCCAATCAATCAGACACATGAAATTTTCCTAATCCATAAAAGTTATACTTTGCTCCCCACCTCTATAGATAAGTCACAAAGTTTGAATCAAAGGCACTTTCCTAAGCATTCGAATATGTCTAAATAAAATAAATAAATAAATAAACCCAGGGGGTGCCTGGGTGGTGCAGTCAGTTAAGCGTCCAACTTGGTTTCAGCTGATCTCAGGGTCATGAGATCGAGCCCTATATTGGGCTCCAGGCTCAGCACGGAGTCTGCTTGAGATTCTCTCTCTCCTTCTCCCTCTGCCCCTCCTGCTTGTGCACATGTGCTCTCTCGCAAGCTCTCTTTGTCTAAAATAAATAAATCCTAAAAAACAAAAAACCCCTGAAGTACAGAGATGTATGTGTGAGGAAATTTGAGCATGTTAATAATTAAATATTTTTAAGCAAAATAAAGACCTTTGACTATAACCAAGGCCAAATGTGATAGTGCATACAAGGATGAAGGGATATCAGAAGCATTAAAGCATCAGGGCCCTATATCTCTACATACTGAAGAGGGTTCCACAACTGAAGTCTTGATAAAAATTAGATGGAATTTGTTTTTTCACAGCTTTGCTCTAGAAGCTCTCCTAGTTGAAATCCTGCATTTTACAGATAAACTGAAGTCAAGGGGCACCTGAGTGGCTCAGTAGGTTAAGCGTGAGAGGCTTGATTTTGGCTCAGGTCATGATCTCGGGGTCCTGGGATTGAGCCCCACAATGTGCCCAGCGGGGAGTCTGCTTAAGATTCTGTCCCTCTTCCTCTGCTCCTCCCCCTCCGTATGCACTCTCCCTCTCTCTCAAATAATCTTTAAAAAGAAGGTGAAGGGCGCCTGGGTAGCTCAGTTGGTTAAGCGACTGCCTTCAGCTCAGGTCATGATCCCAGGGTCCTGGGATTGAGTCCCACATCGGGCTCCCTGCTCTGCAGGGAGCCTGCTTCTCCCTCTCCCACTCCCCCTGCTTGTGTTCCCTCTCTCGCTGTGTCTCTCTCTGTCAAATAAATAAATAAAAATCTTTAAAAAATAAATAAATAAAATAAAAATAAATAAATAAATAAAAAGAAGGTGAAGTCCAGAGAAAAGTAATTTGCCTCAGGTCATATGCAAGTTAATATCAAAGGGGGTGGAGCCTGGGTGACTCGGTTAAGAGAAAGATTCTTGATCTCAGCTCAGGTCTTGATCTCACAGTGGTGAGTTCAACCTGCGCTGGGCTCCATGCTGGAAGTGGAGCCTACTTAAAAAAAAAAAAAAAAAAAATCAAAAGAGAGATTAACACGCATGTGTCCAAACTTCCAGTGCTTTTTCTGTTATTTCGCATTTCCTCCTTTTTTTACTTTTGGTAATGAATGTCTAAGTACTGGGCTTGGGAATGTTGTGTCCAGTGAATGACAGCACAGGACAAAACTTAAGAGTCCCCGTCCTTGTAGAAGATGTTAAGTTCTAAAAGCATTCAGGTTTCAGATAAAGATTTTAGGGGAAGCAGTTTAAAGTAAGTGGACTATGCATCCTTACATAATCTGCGTTAGACTGATTGTGAAACTTCCACGGAAACTTCTCTTCACCTGTAAAATGGGAAGAAGAAACCCAAGCTGCCGCTTTAGTTCCCTTTGGGAAGGCTCCCGGGGAACACAAGGCCAAGTTTTGCTTAGTCCGTGCCTTAACCCCAGGCTGGACCTTTGGGGTTACCATCTGCTTATGCGGACCGGGCGAAGCAGGTCTCCCGGCAGGGTCCCTGCTCTCCCTGGGTCCGAGGAGAGCTCCCCGGCCAGGAGGCTACGTTCCCTCTCCGCGGACACTTTCCCGGCCCCCCAAGTTCGCCCGGGTCATCTGCAACCACGCCCAGAAGGATCCCTGCCGCCCGGGCAGGTCTGCACCTCTCTTCTGTACTGCCTACCTCACAGGGCTGTCCTAGGGCCCAAACGAAATACTGAATATTGAAAGTGCTGTGCAAAACTTGCCGCCAAAGGAGATTATAGGCACTCATGTTGCAGCTGAAGGAGCCTTTGGTCTCAGAAGATCAGAGTTCGAGTCAAGGACAATCAGTTTTCCCGTGTTGTATGTAAGATGCAGACAAAACAAATGCCACAGTAAGTGGTTGTGAGGTCCCAGTCCTAAGACGCAGGGCCAAACGTGAACGAAGACGGTTATTTACTTCCCCAGCCGCACCTCCTCACCTTCTGCACCTGCTCTGCGAGCGCCACGAGGTCTAAGGGGTCCCCGGCCCGGTGGGTGCGGTAGGGGCTCACCAGGGCCAGGCCGCCGGGGGTCGAGGTGCGCTCCACCAGGGCTCCTGCGACACAAACCCAGGAACACAGCCCGTGAGCGCCCGCCCTCGGCCTCCCGCGCAGCCCGGAGACTAGCTGCTCCGTGAGGGCTTCTTTCCCCGGCCGGACTCCCGCCCTGCGTACCTCCCCGACCGGTCGCCGGCTGAATTCTTCGGTTTTCGGGGACCTCCTCCGCCTGCCCCAGCTTTGCAGCGTCCTCCATGGCAACACCTGAAACCTCCCTACCACCCTCGCGTCAGGGGGCGGAAGAGCCTGCGCACAAAGGCCCGTGGGCGGAGCTTCCGTGTTCCCCGGGCATTGGGCATCACCGCGGAGGAGCGCGGCCTGAGCCCGGGAGCGGGGCCCCGGCTGTCGCTCAGGGCTCGGCTGAGGGGCGGGGTCCAGGCTTGTGGAAAGCCAAAAAGGTGGTGCAAGCCTCCCGGGCATGCGCCGCCTAGCTTGGGAGGCGGGGCTCCACTCAGGGGCGGGACGGGAAGGGGTGGGCGGGACTCCTCGGGGGTGGGACTCCAGCCTCCGTGGCGGGTGGCTGGCGGTCCCGTCAGGTCGGAGGAGGCAATGGCTGCACGCGCTTTGAGGCTGCTGACCGCGCTGCTGGCCGTCGCCGCCGCTGCCTCCCAGGCCGAGGTCGAGTCCGAGGCGGGATGGGACATGGCGGCGCCTGATCTGCTCTTCGCAGAGGGGACCGCTGCCTACGCGCGCAGGGACTGGGCGGGGGTTGTACTGAGCATGGAGCGGGCGCTGCGCTCGCGGGCCGCCCTGCGCGCCCTCCGCCTGCGCTGCCGCACCCGCTGTGCCGCCGACCTCCCGTGGGAGCTGGACCCCGACTCGTCCCCGAGCCTGGCACAGGCCTCGGGCGCCGCCGCCCTGCACGACCTGCGCTTCTTTGGGGGCCTGCTGCGCCGCGCCGCCTGCCTGCGCCGCTGCCTCGGGCCGCCGGCCTCCCACTCGCTCAGCGAGGAGCTGGAGTTGGAGTTCCGCAAGCGGAGCCCCTACAACTACCTGCAAGTCGCCTACTTCAAGGTGCAGACCTGCCCGGGCCCGGGCGGCAGGGATCCTTCTGGGCGTGGTTGCAGATGACCCGGGCGAACTTGGGGGGCCGGGAAAGTGTCCGCGGAGAGGGAACGTAGCCTCCTGGCCGGGGAGCTCTCCTCGGACCCAGGGAGAGCAGGGACCCTGCCGGGAGACCTGCTTCGCCCGGTTCGCATAAGCAGATGGTAACCCCAAAGGTCCAGCCTGGGGTTAAGGCACGGACTAAGCAAAACTTGGCCTTGTGTTCCCCGGGAGCCTTCCCAAAGGGAACTAAAGCGGCAGCTTGGGTTTCTCTTCCAGATTTCATTGTAAGTGCCCGAGTGAGAAGCTAGGACCTTTCTACAGTATCTTTCTTCCGGTTCGCTGTTCAGTGATGCTTTTCCTGCTGCCCGAGTCCAGCAGCTCTCTTTCAGGACGTGAGGTTGCCACGTCGCCAGTAGGGGCTGTCTAACCCCTCCCTGTAGCGGGACCCTCTGGCTATTGTCAGGTTTTCAAAGAAAATGAGTATTTTTAGGAATTCCAGAGTGGCGTAAGTCCAAGTGCATACATGGATTTGGAGTGCCCCTGACTTGCATGATGATGATGATGATGATGATGATGATGATGATGATGATGATAGCCAGCACATACTTCTAGGCACTATTTTAAGTACTTTGTGTTTATTGGTTTATTTGCCCAGATCCTGTCAATGTCCTGTAAGGTAAGTGCTATTATTAGGCCCATTTTATTGGGGGAAAAGAAAGAAGGAGCTGTGTTGCATATTGTCACATCCATAGTTTAACAGACCTTCGGTTCCACCTAAAGAGAGACTTAGGGAGCCGTGGGGACCACGGACTTCCACCTCTCCACAAGCATTTTGCTTACACAGTTTGCTTACATTCCTCCTTGTTACTTGGAAAAGTACTGTATTTGAAACCAAAATAAGTGGGTCATGTCTTTGGTCATGTCACTTAACAGCACACTCAGATTCTTTGACTAACGTTTCCTGAATACCTGCTACATTCCAGTTCTTGTACAGGTCATTAAAATACTTGACTTTATATTGTTTTGTTTTACATCACTTCCTTAGTGAGAATCACTACAGAAAAGGCTACTAAAAGGGTGTGTACATAGGGCGGTGGGAGCACAAAGGAGGGAGGATCTAGCTTCCTCTCAGAGAAACAAGGGAGACTGAAAGAAGAGATGACAATTGAAGTCGGTCCTAAATATCACTAGAGGAGAGAAAGGATGGCCATTCCAGATAGAGCGAGGCCAGACAGGGAAGAGAGTTCTGCAGGCTTCAGGAGCTAGTGTCAGAATCAGGTTTTAGAATGCTAATTCTGGAATGTGGAATAAGCCTTGGGAGAAGGAGAAAGTGGTGGCAGGGCTAACCATTAGGAGATGAGTTGGTGGGACGCCTGGGTGGCTCAGTTGGTTAAGCAGCTGCCTTCGGCTCAGGTTGTGATCCCCAGGTCCTGGGATCGAGTTCCATATCGGGCTCTCCGCTCAGCGGGGAGCCTGCTTCTTCTGCCTGCCGCTCCCCCTGCTTAAGCTCGCTCTCTCTCTGACAAATAAATGAATAAAATCTTAAAAAAAAAAGAGAGATGAGTTGGTTGTCCACTTGAGAGAAGGAAATTAGGTGCCTAGGTGCTTAGGGAGTAAAGAAGGACTGGGGTGGAGAGAGAAGATGGCAGGGCAGGAGAATAAATCCATGAAGGGGACAGACTTGTGAGAATTTCTAATTGTACAGTTAACAAAACAGGTGCAGAGGATTATTGACTTTGGGTCACCTAGCTATTTTAGGGTTAGAGCCAGGGCTGACTTCTTGTTTAGCATGCATTTACTAGTACTGATGAAAAAAGGAAAAGGAAAAAATTCTTAGCGTGTTAATAATACCAGCTAACATTTATTAAGCACTTAGTATGTGCCCAGCACCAGGTGTTAGAAGCCACATGTATACCAGCTTGTTTTAACATTACCAACAAGACTGTGAAACAGTGAGTGCTATCTCCAGGTGGCAGATTAGGGAACTCAAATAGAGAGTAAACTTTAAGTGTCTGAAGCCCCAGCAAGTGACTAATTAAACCTAGCTTTGTCACAGGTTTGTCTGTCACCTAAGCCGTGTTAATCATTAGATCATCAGTGATTTATTTTGGCTTCTACATAAGAACCTGTGTGACATTGATATGCTTGAGTCCATTGCTTTGGGCATTATTGTGGCATTTGGCACATTTTTTTCTTCTCAGATTTCATAACCACTTGTTTTAACCTCATGAGCCCTGGGCTTTGAGTCAGAAGACGCCATATCCAGATTTTGTATAAGACCTTAGGATTTTTCCGTCACCCATCTTTTCCTTGAATGTGTCAAAAACACTTGATTATATTTTTTGAAAAAAAAAAGTATCTTCTAGGGAAATCCTTAGGCACAGTATAATCATTAACTGCTCTTTCTCCCCTACTACTAAATTCTTGAAGCCTTAGACTTTTTTCAGCGCAGTTGCCACTTCTGAATCTTGAGAATATATTACTCGGGCAGTCAGTCTTCCATAGCATTCCTCCCAACAATATGACCTTTGTTTGAAAATAGAATGTTTACACTGTTGAAGGTTTACCTCCTATGATTTGGGGAATTGCAAAGCCTGATTTGGGAAATGGCTGCAGTTCTGCCCAGGGCCCTGTGCTCCTGATTTCTGGTATGTAGTTCCTGCAATAGGTGTGTTTTCTGGGGCTGGCGAAGTCTGGCGCAAACTGTGGAGTGGAAGGCTCAGCAAGGCTGGGATTTCCTGTTTACCGTGGACTGCCCATTTGGACACAAACCTTCAGGGTTTGGAGGTGAGGGTTATGTTCTTGTGCCTTATTCTTAGATCAACAAGTTGGAGAAAGCCGTGGCAGCGGCACACACCTTCTTCGTGGGCAATCCTGAACACGTGGAGATGCGGCAGAACCTGGACTATTACCAAACCATGTCTGGAGTGAAGGAAGCCGACTTCAAGGATCTTGAGGCCAAACCCCATATGGTGAAAAAAACTTTGTCCCCCCCATTCTCTCTTTTTACTAAAGTGATATTTACTAGGCTTGTTTTCTGATTACAAAAGTAGTAGACATTCATTGTACAACACTATAGAAAAATGCAGATAAGTATAAAACAGAAGGTGATCATCTATAATACTGCCACCTTAAGGAAACCAGTAGTTCATATTTTGGCCTAGTTTTTTTTTTTAAAGATTTTATTTATTTATTTGTCAGAGAGAGAGGTAGACAGAGGGAGAAGCAGGCTCCCCGCTGAGTAAGGAACCCAATGCAGGGCTCGATCCCAGGACCCTGGGATCATGACCTGAGCCGAAGGCAGATGCTTAACCGACTGAGCCACCCAGGTGTCCCTATTTTGGCCTATTTTTAAAACTCTTCTAGATCTTAATTTTTTTCCCCTAACTTGGTGTCATACTGTGTATATATTTTTCATCATCCTTTTTGAACTAACACTGTATCATGAGCCTTCTCTCATGTCTTGATTTTCTTTGAAAATACAATTTTTAGTGGCTGCATGATAGTCCATTTTATGCATAATTGTATTAATGTACTGTGTAGGTTTTTGCTTTCACTACTGTAAGTGGTACAGTGTTCCTCGATGTTCTTATTCTTTTTTTTTTTTTAGATTTTTATTTATTTGACAGAGAGAGAATAGTGAGAGAGGGAACACAAGCAGGGGGGAGTGGGAGAGGGAGAAGCAGGCTTCCTGCTGAGCAGAGAGCCCAATGCAGGGCTCGATCCCAGGATCCTGGGACCACAACCCAAGCCGAAGGCAGACGCCTAACAATTGAGCCACCCAGGCGCCCCATCGATGTTCTTTTTTTTTTTTTTTAAAGATTTTATTTATTTATTTGAGAGAGAGAGAACACCTGAGAGGGGATAGGGTCAGAGGACGAAGCAGACTCCCTGCCGAGCAGGAAGCCCGATGCGGGACTAGATCCAGGGACTCCAGGATCATGACCTGAGCCGAAGGCAGTTGCTTAACCAACTGAGCCACCCAGGTGCCCAGCCCATCGATGTTCTTATTCTGTTTGTTTAGGAGAAGTCTGTGTCCCATGAGAGATATTGTCTGTGATGATACAGCATTTTATAAAGAGCTTATGTTCTTGTAAGTTTTCATAGTTTAGAAATAGAGATACTAGAAACAATATCAAAATGACTTTTAAAAGTGAATTGTGTAAGGACGCCTGGGTGGTTCAGTCCATTAAGCGCCAGACTCTTGATCTCAGCTCAGGTCTTGATCTCAGGGTCCTGA